GCGACAGAGGTGACCCCATCTTCATGCCCTCGAAGAGGCTCGCCAATGGACAGGCCCGTCTCTGCATCCCAGATGCGGATGGTCTTGTCATTGGAGCCGGACACGATGCGCTCCCCGTTTGGAGAGAACGCGACGGAGTTGACCCAACCTTCATGCCCTCGAAGAGGCTCGCCAATGGACAGGCTCGTCTCTGCATCCCAGATGCGGATGGTCTTGTCATTGGAGCCGGACACGATGTGCTCCCCGTTTGGAGAGAACGCGACGGAGTTGACCAAACCTTCATGCCCTCGAAGAGGCTCGCCAATGGACAGGCCCGTCTCTGCATCCCAGATGCGGATGATGTTGTCATACGAGCCGGACACGATGCGCTCCCCGTTTGGAGAGAACGCGACGGAGTTGACCGAACCTTCATGCCCTCGAAGAGGCTCGCCAATGGACAGGCCTGTCTCTGCATCCCAGATGCGGATGGTGTTGTCATCTGAGCCGGACACGATGTGTTTCCCATCTGGAGACACAATGACGGAGCAGACACAGTCTTTATGCCCAATGAGTATGGCCTGTGCAGAAGGCCACTGAATACTGCATTCTGAATTGCAACATTTCTCTGGGATCCTTGGAAAATCAGGCACAAAAATGTGCTGCAAGGCACAGCCTTTGGGTACAAAAGGCAGAGCTGAAAGGTAAAGATGTGGTGTTGAGTCCGAGATTGCTCTCCCAAAGACACGTAAGAATTGTTGGGTGTCTTTCAGCAGATCAATGAGCTTTTGAGATTTATCCTCAGTGTTTTTGAAACTTATGAAAAGCTGGTGAAATAGTATAAGCCAAAGTCAAGGCATTGATAGACACGAAAGACGTACATCCGATTTGAGCCACTGGAGCACCAAGTGCACAGTATTTAGAGCCGCACCAATCTTGTTGATGACGGCTATGACTTCTAACCAGAACAGGAGCTTGGCGTGAATAAAGTCATGAAGCTCATGTGCTGGAAAAGAAAGGTGACCCTCAAGTGACGAAAACCCATGAATGTGCATGCCCCAGAAGCGGCAGGCATACGACAAGTCAGGAAGAATATTCTCCGATATTCTTTCAGAGAGATCTAGCACTTCAGAGTTTCTGCAATGGGAGTTTGGAAGTTTGCACATATCGAACTCCAGCTTTTCTGCCATAAGGCGGAGACTTCCAAGTGCCAGGGTGTGATGACCACCAGCAAGGTCCACAAAGAATGATTGGCTACGCTCGCGATCCAAGAGATAGTCACGTACAGAAGCGTGTACTGGTTGGACTGGTGTGGTGCTATCCTGAAGACCAGTAAAAAGTGAACCAAGGAACGGAACAACGAGCTCAATTTCGTCCTCATCGATTTCTGTGGAATGGCGGCTCTTCTGGCGAATCTCGTTCAATGTGTGTTGAGAGAGTGGCTCAAATGCTGCCAGAATCTGGCTCATCACTGACTTATATTGTTCCATGACATCTTTGTCTGTCGAGTCGAAGGCGTTGGATAAGATTAGGTTATACATCGCATCAAGGGGCTGTAAATCTTCTTTTCCTGGAGAAACAGACAGAAGACGCTCAAAGCGTTTTCTAACACTCAGACCACCTCTGCCTTTACCAAGGAGGACTTTACATGCTAGGTATGCCCATTGGAAATAGCCCTGTGAACGCTCCGCCAGAGTACGACGCTGATCCTCGGTAAGGTTTTTGTGAGATGCCGCTTGGCTCGTCATTGTGTGATTTATATATCGGAGTATGTCATATTTTGTGGCGGGGAGTTCGTTCATACGTTTTTGGCAAAGATGACCAGGACTGGCAGGATTGACTGCCTGCATAACATCGTACTCGGCTCTAGAAGTGACCAAGATACGGAAGTTGGGTGGAAGCTCGTGAACCCGCTTAGTCAATATCGAAAGGAGGGTTCTACGAGACTGAGATCCTTGACTGCCACATTCATCAAATGCATCGATGATAATGAGGACAGGAAACGGGTTTGCCAGTGCTTGCGCTGGAGCAACAATAAGGCTATCCCATTGCAACTCAATATCCGGTGTGTCCGAGAGTCTAGGATTCGCTTGAAGAGATTCCATCAAAGCTCGACAGAAGGCTGGCTTCACAGATGCCAGATCGTGCGAGAGCGTAGTCAGCACTGTCTCCGGGTCTCGTTTCGCGGCGAAATTACGATCGCAGCAGAAGGACGCTCCGAGGCGACGTAAGGCTTCAAATCTCTGGCCGATGGAGTGACTAATCGCGGATTTACCTGTTCCTGCTTCGCCATGGAGGAAAAAAACGGGAGGAACGTCAGTACCGTTCACCCACTCGGATATTTCATCGATCACGTCAACTCGTGTGCCATCCAAACATGCTTTATCTCCACGCACACCAGCTCCCTTGACGTGGGACATGTTGCTCAGGTCGAATTTCATGTCTACGAGTCCGTAAGCCAGTGTGCCATGAAACAGTGAAATCTACGCACTGAGACTGTCGAGCATATCCGCTACACGGAGACTATTGGTCTCAACACCGATGTCGGAAAGATCTCTGAGCGTCTGCCTCAGCTGCTCAAACTTCGTCTTGTACCCCAGGATGGTTTCATCAATCGACGAAAGAACTCCTTTTATCGCACGAAGAACTGTTCGGTAGAATGTGGCATTCAGAGCACATCAGAAGCAGTTATATAATGACGCTCACCAAATGTTTTGTTCTCCAGATAGTATGCTCGGATAAAATACGCGCATTCGACGGACTGCTTGACCGCGGTTTCAGCAACTTTTCTGCGCTTCTTATCTACTTTCAGATCCTCGACGGCCACCAGGTATTCGTACACCTCGCTGATAGTCTGAAGTAGGGATGTCATGTTTTTGTCCCGCTCGGACTGTGCAATCAGAGGCTGAATGAAGGAGGAAAGCCGATCTGTTGAGAGTCGTCTATAGATAAGAAACACGCACAAACCTTTGTGACTGCACTGAGAATGGTCGTTACCATCTTCGCGTAGGGGTGAATCTGCGTTAGGGTGAAATCAGGACAGAAATAAGAGAAGAGAATAAGAGTCTCTGACCTCGCCGATGACGGTGACAATGCCAGTGAAGATCTTGATCTTGTCCATCAACGGCTGCCAAAGGTCGACGGCATTATCTACTGCATCGACAGCGGAATCTGCTGTAGCAGGGAGAGATAGCGTTTGATCCATCCTCTCCACGTTCCGCACGGCAGGCTTCTGTTCAACACGAGCCGCCTCGAGCGCTGTGGCGATGTCGGGCTATCCAAAAATATGATCAGACAACGGACTCTGAAGGGGAAGGTAGGACTCTCCCACAATCTGCATAGGCGCCGACGGAGCTTGAGAGGACTTCGGGTCGCCAGCCGGTGTGGACCAAGGCTGGAGAGAGAACAATGAGACCGTTGCAGAGAAGAATAGACGAAGTCGAGGACATACACCTCCTTCGGAGATTTGGTTCGCGGAATGCTGTGCATTGGCTAGGATCTAGTCGTATTGGGTAGTCCATCCCGATAAGAAAGGATTAGTACGCTAATAATGGAGGGATATACCACTGGGAAACGTACTCCAGGAGTTCCAATAGAAGCTGCCGCAACGCTTGCAACTGCTACACTGGCCTATATCGAGTGGAAGTTACATGGAGGTGCTAAGCGAAAAGAGGAATAAAATATGGACGCACCAGTGCAGCGCTAGGACTGAGGACAAACGGCATCACATCGCTCCCTCCTTGACCCTTTGATTGAATCGTCTGCTTAGACGCATTGCCGTTAGTGAATTCTACAAGTATCTGGACGCTCGACCACTGAGATAAAGCACGAACCTGTGATCCATGTCGACTCGATTCGACCACGCTGTTGGCCTCTGATGCCGAGTCTGCTGCATCCTTACCACTCCGTTTGCCTTTCTTCAATGCTTTACTGAGTCTATTCTTCATGTTGACTGTGACTTTCGAGGGTTGAGAGGTGCTGTCGAGTTGTGTAGCAAGATGGATGTGGTTGTGGAAGAGGACGATGCCAGCTGGATCGATGAAGGCAGTGCGTGGCACGGCGCCCGTCTCTATTTTAGTCTCGCCCTATCGATGGTGATACCGAGAAAAGAACATGGTCAAAAGCATTGCAAGAATGCGGAGCTTACGGCCTCGCGGATAAAGCATGGTACTGGGAATCTGTGTCGCAGAAAGAGAGAAAGAGATGTCCGAAGGTCGCTGTAGAAGGGAAGTCGACAGCGGTATACGAGCACTATCAGACGCGGGCATGACGCAGTCAATTTTACCCCCTCTTTATACGGTCGATTAGTGTATTTATCCCTTCTCGGTGTCAGCTCACTAGCTTGACTTTGAGCTCAACACTTCGTCTTCGGTTTGCTGTGTAAGGGTAGATATCTCTGAATTCGACGCAGTGTGTTCCCGTAATTAGGTGTGCATGGACATCGGCAACAGCGGAATCCGAAGGCAAACCTCTTCTAGCTCTAAACCGAAGGAAGCCTTGAAATGCGAAGCGACATCTAGCATAACGAGCTGACGAGACGTTCGAGCGAATGAGTGGGACTCTGAGATGACCGGGTTCTTTAGACAGTCAAAATAGGTATATCATAGTGTTCGGGGCGTAAAAAAAAGCGAAATATGACGAGCGGGTAAGTGCACTTTAGATTCTGCGATCGAAGCCTCTCGAGCTCCGTGCTGACATCTAGGATGAGAGTTCCAGTTGATTGGTCTAGCGGGCATTCAATGCAAGTCCACGAACCGATATCGACCACTACAACGATTGCCCCCGCCTCCGGGGTCTGAGCCAGTCATAGAAACTGTATCAGCGCTCAACAAAGACGCTCATGAATCAAGTAAGAAAGAACGAACTTGTTCAAGCATAACGTGTGCACCGGTTGGAGACGGCGATGAGGCCTGAATGAATCTCGGTCGATCTCCGGAGAGGTGCTGATGAAGGGCGACCATGGAGCTTCGTTCTGAAGTAGCAGAGAGCGTCTGCGACGTGTATAGAGAGTGAGATACGAGAGCCTGCTTCTTCTTGACGGTTGTCGCGTGAAGGAGATAACCTATATGATCGTGACTGTTATCTGCACGAACTACACGGCTGTCGAAGAAAGACGACTATATAGCGTCAAGGAGCGCTCTACTGGCTACGAGGAGCGCAAAGGCGTAAATTCCAACATCGCCGGTATTGTGCGGCTTCCGTCCGAATGGATATCGACGACAGAGTGGTATGAAGGAAAAAGTTCTCCGGTTATAGACTGAAGGAAGCCTCGGAGGGCTAAGCTCTATCATGAAGGCCGAGCATACGAAGAGGAAGGGCGGGGGGCACTTACAAGTGGATGTACTTGACTGGAGTATGCGAGGTATATCATAACGTTGGGCACGGATGACAAAATATGACAGCCGGGAGAGTGCACTTCACTCTCTGGGACTGAAGTTTCTCGTGCTTGGTACTGACACTCGCGATGATAATTTCAGTCGATTCGTCTAGCGTTATATGCAGTACGAGCCTACTGAAGCAGATCGCGGTACATCATGCTCATCGTAGTAAACCGCATGAATGCCGAATGAATATCGATCACAACGACGATCGCGCACACCTCCTAAGCCCGAAATAGTCGCATAAATGGTCTCGGTGCTGGACAAGGACGCACACGAGTTCGGTAAGAAAGACGCACATGAGGCCTAGATGAACCTCAGTCGATATCTAGGGAGGTGCTGATCAAAGCTGATGATGGAGCTTCGTGAAAAATAAAGGAAAGCGCACAGAGCGAGGTCCGGACGTGGTGGACGCGAAGGAATCAACGTCTATGATCATGACTCCAATCCGGGCAACCTACATGGATGGTGGCCGAGCAAAAGTGGTTATATCGCGTCAATATCCGAAATATGAGACTGAAAATGCGAAAATCACCGATCGGGGAGACAGAGGCACAGACTTCAGTACTGCGTTGAACTTGGCAGTGTATCCTCGAACGATAAGATAGACAAGCTCAACATCTCGAATGCAACCTCCGAAATTCGTCCAGAAAAGCTCAGAGACGAAACGGGCCGACTCATGGGTTGTGATCATACGAAGGATGGGAGGATGGCCTCGCCCTACTCTCAGGCTGTCAAAGTGTTGGCACTCGTAACGCATCTAGACCCAAACATACGCACGAAGACTCAGAGGGTGCGGACAGAGACAGAGATCGCGCGCGCCTAGCAACTGACTGAGAGCCAAGCAGAGATGGACGGGGCCGGAAGGTGATGGTTGACCGTTGGCCGTGCATATGAGGATTAGGCGTCTGGCGAAGAATGCAACACGATGCGTGGATTGCTATATGTCGGAGAATGGATGAAGATGGGCAGGAGGTTGAGAGTCGAGAGATGCCACGGAGATAATAGGAGTATGATTGAGGCAGCGGGATGTGGCCTCGATGATGAGCACACAGGAAAGGCCGTAGAGAACGGAGCGTTGGACAGAGGACGAACGGGTGGACCTAGTACAGGAATCTCCGAAGAGTGGATGGGAATGGGAAACGTCCGGGCTTTGTGCTCGTGTGCGACAAGTCATGATCACGGACGCCGGAGCAGCGACAACGGTACTGCTGCGGATCGAGGCATGCACCGGGGGCATGTATGCAGTGAGGTAGGAGCTGGGAAAGGGGTGCCCATTTGCGTGGCGGGTCGTGTGCGACGTTTACCGACGTGAATATAAGATCGCCGTGGACTGAAGCTCGACACTGCAGATGATGACAGCGACGGAGGGACCAAGACAGAACGGAGAAGAAGGCGTGCCCTACTTCTGGAAGATAGATATCAAGTGGGTTAAACTCGCAAAATCCTCCCATATGCCGCACTGAGAGGAGCGGGAGAGATTTGTTGGGGTACTCTGTCGAGGACTGGGAGGACAAGAGGGTCAAGGAGATCATGGGAGAGAGTACGAAGGTGTGTTGTGAGAGTCATTCCGAGGTCTTGAGAGTGCAATGTCATGGTAAGCACTGAGAATAATGACCAGAGGACGCTCGTAGAGAAACGACGTCGAGCTCGATGACGAGGAGAAAACGGTCGACGATGAGGAGTGTGTGTGAGACCAGTGTGTGGCGCTCAAGCGCTCAAATTTCAACGCGGGGATCAAGCTGATGACGTCATCTTCCTGGAATCGTTTCGTCTCTCAGTCTCTCTCCACCATGTCCCAGTCCTCTGCATACTTGTCGATTATATTGTTCTGACCCCGAATGGCGACCACACTGTGCTTTTGTATGAAATGACTCTGTGCGTACTCTGGCACCACCTTTCCGAGAAATCGCGCTCCATCGCGATCCTTACCCATACTCCCCGACTTTTGGCGACCTGACAGGATTCACATGGACATTCTTATCGAGAATATGCGCTGCCGGAAGTGCTGTTTCTGTTCTCGGTGGTTGAGAGGTGAACAATCGAGTAAAACGTATAGCAACAGTTGTGGTTGAGGTACGGCGATGGAGGTTCGTCTGAGCAATCTCCTAGTGTTAGTTCGTGCGCTGACAGAGGGCGGAACTCTAACCCTACTCCACTCCTGCTTTTTGAACATGCATATATGTCCTCTCCCGGCTCAAACTACCTCAACTAATCGACGCCACCAACGGCCAACAAATCAACCCTCTTCTACTCCGCTCTCCTTTCGAATGCTCGTGCAACGTTCCTAGCTTAGGTTTCGTGCTCTACCATCAGAAATATCTCCCTCTAGATACGGGAGTTCTGATCATCGTCATCCTCGAATCAATCCTTCCAGCCGTTCGGCCAGAGTCGACCGTCTTGATATTACATTGCTTCTGCACTCGGCCGTCTCCCGTGCATCCAACCTTCACCTTCGTATGTTCCTCTATGCTCTCAGCCCTTCTCTGTGATTTGATTCTATCACCGCGCATGCTAGCTAGGCTGAGTGCGACTACCAATCTGTCCGTTTTCACTTCTTTTGGGACGTTGGAGGAGTAGGCCTTGGTTGGCTGAATGCTTATGCGGATGTTTATGTAGGAATCTGCGGTTTAATCCGAGTATCGAAGTCTGGGGACTATCTCCGTACGTCCTCGTCCCGTTTGTGTCTCGTTCCTTTCAACGTCCTTCCTCTACCAACCAATCAAATCACTGACTTTACTCTTCAACACAGAACGAAACCGAATGGCCCAACGGCATCGCCATCCTCATGTCCTTCATCTCCGTCATATGGATAATGTCGGGCTACGACGCGCACTTACATCTCACCAAAGAATGCTCGAATGCGGCGATTGCGAGTCAGCGGGCTATCGTGCTGACGGCGGAGCCGTGGGGCTTGTTGGGGTGTTTCTTGATGCTTGGTATGTATTCGCCACCCTGCCTCTTGTCTCTTGCTGTCTTTGAGCAGGGTGTGGTAGTATGGTGCTGGTGCTGACGGTGCGATGGCATGGACATTGATTGCGTATACAGTGCGCGATATACCCGCGGTGATCGTCTCTGAGCTTGGGCGTATTGTCTGCAGGTGTAAACGCAGAAGACGGCGATGGCTGTGATGGCGATGATGATTGTGTGCAGGTGCGTGTCCTAGCCTACTCTCCCGGGAATAAATTAGTGCTGATGAGATTTTGGGCAGTGTCTTCATGTATGTATGCTTTGAACATTGTTTTGCAGATGGTATGACTACTAACGTTTCGGGTGTCGAATAGGGGCCAGGGTTATATGGTCGCCATATGTACGTCTCCCGTTACCCCTGTGACCACTCCCCTCTTAACTCACCTCCCTCCCCCAGCCCGGGTCATCTACAACTACGACCGCGATGGCGTCTTCCCCCTCTCCTGGATCCCCGGCACCGTCAACAAACACATCGAAACCCCCGTCAACGCCGTCTGGATGAACACCTCCATCGGGATCCTCCTCCTCATCTACGGTGGCTCTCTCGCCATCTCTCCATCGGCGCCTACGTCGCCTTCACTTTGCCCGTTGTTCGTCGTGGGTAATCGGTTCTGGCCGGGCCCGTGGAATTTGGGACGGTGGAGTAGGTTGAGTGGGTCGGTTGCAAGTGGGTTTGCGTTGGTGATGATGCAGGTGCTTTGTTTTCCGACGGTGAGGGGAGTGGATTTGGATGTGCAGAGTATGGATCCGGATTGGACGGTTGTGGCTTGGGGAGGTGCGTACTTTTTATTGGGTGGTGAGGATGCGGGCTGATTGCGGTTGACATAGGTCCGATGTTTTTCGCGATGGTGTAGTGGGTTGTGGATGTGCGGTGAGTACAGCTCCGTTCCTCTCACCTCTCATAAAACTTACAGTCGCTTTGTGCCACAGTAAATGGTTCAAGGGACCAAAGGTTCGTCTTATCGCCCCCCTTCGTCCTCACCTTCACCTCTGTAACTCACCAGCAAACCCTTCCTTCCCACAGATCAACGTCGAGCATCAGATGCTCACCCGACCTGCTGACGCAGACGCAGCTCAGGCACCTTCGCTTGCGTCGTCTGAATCGATTCCCGGGAAGGGGGCTTAGGCCTTGCGTTCTCATTTGTGCCAACTGTTAGGAAGGGTAAGGGTATGGAAGGTGTTCGTTTGAGTGCGCGTTTGAGTATTGTGTGTTGGATTGTATCAACTTTAGACCGGAGACTTCGGGGTGAGGGAGTGCACGGTGGGTGTTTGCATGTATAGAACCTTTCTTGGTTGTATTATCTGATGTTTTCCTTCGTTGCTTCTTTGCGCGGAGAGAGTTCATTTCGAGAAAGCGAGCGAGGGTAGGTACCGCCGCCGACGGATCTATGCGTTGACTGTGTTCGACTGTGACCTTGCTATTCGTTCTTGGTGACTTCGGGACGTATAGTGCGCTATGCCGGTCCGTTTGGGTTTTTTGGATAAGTGCGTGTTATGTCAATCGCCTTCTCTCCATGCAATGGGTAGGTGGCGGAGTGCAGTACATATACTGGATCCATTTTTGTGTTCTTGTTCGCTGCAGGATGTACGATTGGGCCTATGTGCTCAGTCCATCATCGATAGAAACATACTTGTGACTATGGCTTTCGTTTTCTTTGTTCACACGACCACTTCATCGCGTATACCCTCATCGACGACATGGGCTACACAAGTGCCCTTATCTGTCTATAATCCGAAGTCTTCCTAGCTGTGGTCCGGGCCCATCGCGTTCGTACTCTCTATGTTGACTGCGCTGCTTCTCCTTGCATCGGCTACCTTTTGCCTGTTACAAGAAGGGAGGCTGCAGCATGGAGACCTTGCTGGCGTTTCTCAGCGCCTATACCACCCCCATCGTGGGAGCCGATGAACTTGATATGCACGCATACGCCTGTGCGTCGTTTACCCTTGCTCTTGTCTCGCTGGTGGTCCCCGTCTATCCACCATAATGCGCCCACTTTTCTCGACTTTTGAGCGGCAGTTCGTGCTGTGGAGAAACAAAGGTGCGACTGTGGACCTCGTCTTATTTTCTCACACGACCAACTCGTCTGCAGCATGAATGAAAGCTAGGCAAGCAACCTTATCTGTCCACAATCCGAAGCCTTCCTTGGCTTCTGTCGAGGCACTGCTCTTGTTCTTGTTTTGTCAACTGGCTACTCCTCGTTGCATCGGCTATCTTCTAGTCGTGACCGGAAGAGAATGCTATGCCATGTAGACCTCGTTGGCGTTTCCCAGCGTATGTGCCACCCTCATTGTGGGAGCAGATGGACTTGATATGCACACATACGCCTGCGCGTCGTTCACCCTCGTTCTTCGCATCTCTCCTCTGTGCTTGACGTCCATGTCTCAAATCGTCGGCTTCACTTTTGGCTCCTTCGGAGACATCCTCTCTATACTTCAGCTCGTTCGTACTGTCCAACGTTTGTTGAGCGACAGTCTCGGCGCCTCATCGGAGTATCAAGACCTACTCCTTGAGCTCGACAGAACATTACGTGTTCTTCACCTGGTCCAGGGCGTCACCACTCCTCGCCATGGCTCCGGATCTCTGTCGATCAACACCCATGAGGACCTGAGATTGTCTATCAGTCGTTGCCGGATCGTCATATTCGATCTTTATGTGAGGATTCAGAAATTCCGGGAGAGTTTGAGGAAAGGAGGATCAGGTAGCAGGATGAGGGATTCGTGGCGTAAAATTGGATGGGGATTATTCAAGGTCGATGAGTTGGTGGACATTAGGAGGAAACTGAAGGATGAGGGTGATGTTATCACAACTCTTTTGGACGTCTCCAACTCGTACGTTGAATTTCCTTCCTCTGAATTCGGCGTACGTATACCTCATATCTCTTCCACAATGGCGCATATAGTATGGCCATCAGTAGAGTCGAGGATACCGTGCGTGAATCACAAACGACGGTGCTCGAAATCAAGCACTGCATCGCGGAAATTCCGGAGGTCTTGGGCCATTACTGGGAGGGAGGCTCTACTTTCCGAGATCGACCCATTATCTTGAACGACATGCTCGGTCAACGCATTCAGCTTCCACTTCACCTCTGTAAGACCGCTAAAGTATGTCACATTTGTTTTTCGTATCATTTAGATAATGACACTGTTTACCCCAGGACTTCGAAGGTTTCTTGCGCTTTCATTATCAAGGCAAAGCCGGATATCGCTTCATCGTTTCGGGAGAGTACGATCTTTCGTCAGAGTCCAGCAGGAACTCACTATCGCCTAGCAATTGGGTGGTTCGTCCGGGTACCGTCATTGACATGAGCGCCCGCCTTCGCACTATTCGATATCGGCGGTGCTCAGAGGTTGATGATCAGAGCAACACCGACACATGTCCCGCCTGTTCGCATTCGCTACCTGAAGGTATTGCACTTACGCCGAGCACAGAAATGACATGGCACGTACTGGTCTTGACTATCTTGTTATATTGTATAACGCTAATTCATGTCTTTTACGGGCTGTCAGCTCTTATTGCTCTGCTACGCTTCTCGTATCGACAGGAGAAGCAGCCGTACCGTCCCAGAGCGAGATTCCTGTTGCGGGTCCTCGTTTCTACGACGGATCGTTCGAGGAGCTTCGTTTCGGGAACTCTTTCCCTGACGAAATAGAAGCAGTTTCGCTCCCATACTGGTGTCCGTCCGCAATCCGAATATGGAATGACCGAGACGATGCGCGATTCCTCCGTCGAATCAACGTGATTGAGACATCTATGGATGATATTAGTTTGTCATATGTACTATTTCTTGCGACTCTACGCTTATTGACCTGTGTCTGTTATGCTTTGCAGATTCCTTCGAAGATTTCTGCCATTTCAGCAACCGTTTCCGCGTTCCGTTTGCAACAAAGATCAACGGAGATGATATCACAGATCTCGCCTCCCACGAGGCTTTCGGCTTCACTCATAATCTCGACACCATTCTCTCCCAGCGTCACCCGTACTGGGGAAAATTAGCAGATTTGATCAACGAGATGAGTATTATCCTCATGAACGTATACAATGTTTTTCCCAGTCCACCAGGAGATGAAACTCCCAGCGCACTCTCTCCTCTCTACCCGCTGCCGATTCAGCTATTGTTTCAACAGTGTATGCAAGTCCTGCTTCAGTTCAATCTTCGTGCTGTGGAGATCAAGCGGAAGGCAGGCGAGAGATGTGATCCTGAAGCTCTGTTTCTGGAGACGGAGGCATTGGTGGTGGAGACCTGTAGAAACATGGCGGAGCAGAACTACATGTTGAAGTCGATGATGAAGTTTTCAGAACGCGCTCTAGTGAGTGTGTATATGCTCTCGCACAGAACGTGTGGCTGATGAGGAACTTAAATGCTAGCGTCTTCGAATGTTCGGTGTAGCATTGGCGAAGCGATAGATATCATGAGTTGAGGCATAAATATGTTGGCATTCCTTTGTTAATTATCACGGTATAGGAGATATATGTAGCGGTTGGTATCGATTTTGTTCATCATCTTCCAAGAGAAAGGTCTGGTTTCAAATTGACGGATGTGGACCGGGATGTGATACTCAGTTGTCACTGATTTTGGACGCCCAAAAAAAGCTTGTTCCGCTCGCATCCCTCATCCACCTCAACGACGACCCGTGATTCCGCCCTTCTTTTTGATGCTATGCTACGTGGGTCTCTTGCTAAGGTGTGTGTGCCATTTGAAACCACAAATGCGAGCGGGAACATGTGCACGGGAGGCTACCCCCGCATCGAGTTTGCACAGAATGTATATTGCATTTTGATGCCCCAACGGGACGAAGTTATGAGATATTAAACTCATCACGAGTTTGTTCCATCATTTGGCAATGTGCCGCTCCATATATGCCCTGGTAAACAGGTTCATTCATATTCCCCCATAGTCAGAACGCTCCGAGCCACCCATTCAGAATTCTCTGCGCGATTTCTCATCTACACCATCTCACCTCGGTATCCCCGCCATAATGGCCTTTGTCACCATCATTGTCCAATTATTACTCACTGGCATTTCTTTCACTATTGCGAAAGGCAGGTTATCTGCTACTATCGCTCGTCGCCGCGCATATTCAGCTTCTCCTGCTGTAGTATCGAGATCCGGTCAAAATTTTGGAATTACCACTCTCGACGCAACTAGTGATCCACAACTAAGCTCTAACTGGGCAGGCGCTGTTTTGACCGCTGACTCCTCGGTACTAGATACCACATTCATTGTCGCTTACAGTGGGTACCCATCATATTAATTTCTTTGCCTCTGTCACAGACATATACCTCAATAACCGGCACTTTCATTATCCCTTCTCCCTCCTTTCCTTCAAGCACTGCAAGAAGCTCTAGCACCTACTCAGCAGCAGCATGGGTTGGCATTGACGGTGAAAACTGCTCGACTGCACTTCTACAAACCGGAGTGGACCTTACCGTATCTGCGAACGGCAGTGTCTCGATCAACGGTACGTATAAATGTTTTAATTCATAAATGCAGCTTGTCTGATGTCTGATGTTGCCCGCTTTCCACACAATTCTCACGATAGGGTGGTATGAATGGTATCCTGATTTCTCTCATGATTTCACTGGTATACAGTTCTCGGCCGGAGATACAATAACTCTGGCCGTCAGTGCGAACTCCACCACCTCCGGAAATGTCTTAATCGAAAACACGTCAACCGGTCAAAGCGTCAATCATATCTTGACATCGACCTCTGCCCTCTGTCAGACCAGCGCAGAATGGATCGTCGAGGACTATCGACTTGGTGCAGAGACTGTGCCACTCGCTAACTTTGAGACGGTGAAGTTCACTGGTGCGCAAGTCGTAGCGCGTAATGAAGTCCTAGGTCCAGAGGGAGCAAACTTGATCAACATGGTCAATGCAGCAGGGAACGTCCTTACAGAAACTCAGATTGATCCAACATCAGTCACAGTGACCTACCAGTGAGATTTGATTTTCATCAACTGCTGTCTTCAGGACGATATATAATTTATTTCTTCTCCTTTTGACGAGAAGAAACATTTCGGACGCTATCACTACGTCGACTCTGAGCAGTGGCACTATAACGACGAACGGTCCATCAGACCCACATGGCTCATCATCCATTACCGCTTCGAGTTCACAGACAGCATCGAGCGTACCAGCGATCCCGGTATCAGCCAAAGGTCGACATGCTCGGCCTATAGGAGCGCTAGTGGGCGGAGTCGTCGGAGGAATGTTGATTGTCTCCATTATTGGCATTGCCGTTCTCTGTTACTATCGTCGTCGACATGAAAGGATCGCAGTGCGCCCTTCCATCCCACATATCAGCCCTTTCCTTCCTGGTGGAATCAAGGAAACCACACACCCATTAGCTGGAACGATACCAGCCGATTTCGTACCTGACCGACGACATACCATTACTGAATCGACCCGTTTACGTGTTCGACCTCCATCTCTGCTGTCGATTTTGAACGACATCGGCCCAATACCGTCGTCCGACGTCCTTCCAAGTGTAATCGATATTCACGCTGGTTCAAGGACGATAGCCACGACACCAGCTAGTTCTATTTCGGCTGCGCCGTTTTTTTCTTCGAGTAGGAGCCACGTGAGGAGTGCCAGCAAGGGGAGAGAGAGGGAGAGACGGCTTGAGGAAGAGGTCGACAGGCCGAGAGCAGAGAACAGGGAGATACGAGAGGGTATGATGCTAGAGGCGGATTCACTACCAGAGTATAAGAGCACGAGAACAGCTGCTTGAGTACATCGGACGTGAAATGTGCTGATGATCCATAGTGGACGTGCGCTACCCCGTCCCCTTCCCATACAACTGATGCAATCCCCACTGGCATTTACTGTTTTTTCACTGTTGCAGGCATTGGGCGTATACACGATGACTTCTTCCTTATTCTGACGCGATTGGTCAAAAAGTGTGCGCAGCGGCTCACGACGGAAATAGTAATAAAAACAATATAGTACTCTACCCATTATTATAAGGTACACATCCTTCCTTCTTTCCCCTTTACCAGCCGAAGGACCACGGAACCCACCGGTGAAGCCACGATCGTTGGTCCATAGCCGTAGGGTGCTTGCCCGGGCGCGTAAGGTGTGCCAGAGCCAGCGACGCGTGGATTTGGGTGGTAGCCAGGGCGGAAGTACTGGAGTGCGTACTGTAATAATACGACACGTCCGAGACAGGGTATTTCGAAGGATCGGAGACGGACGTCGACATATAATGATTGAGCGAAAGGAGCACATTGGGTGAAGAATGACCTCGCGAGGACGAATGCGCTCCGCTGTACGCTGCGCCCGCACCCGCACCAGCCATCCCAGAAGTCAAAATCGACGACTTTGCATGGTGCGTCTGTACCATTCCCGGCGTCCCCTGCCCACTGGCAACCAATTCCGACCCCGAAGCCCCAGCCGCCACATGCGGATTATCAGCATACGAAGGGATTTTCCGCTTCTTCGACCCCAAGTGATATACACCGCGCCATTGTGGCTCACCACCCTATCCGGGTCGAAATTCCCGTCGAATTCGTTCTTTGCGCATCGGCGCCGCAGCCATCAGAATAGGATGCCGGTGAAAACGAGGCTCACCGACGATGGCACCAGTGTTGGAGGAGGTGATGGAGAAAGATGAGGAGCTGCCGGTTGCGACGTTGTGTGCGAGATTAGAGAAGAGAAGGAAAGAAGGAAAGAAAAAGGGTGCGCGGGGTTGATGTGGTTGTAGATATTGATGGGCAGTAAAGAGTAAGATACGGTGATCACGAAGGGGTTCAGAGAATCAGGGTGGAAGGGAAGATATGCGGGATGAAAACAGGAAGACCAGACCAGATAGACAGTGCAGTACGATATCGCTCAGTCGCCGAAAGAGACGACATGACCGTAGCAAGGCGGCGAAAAGCGATCCAAGGCGACACAAAAATGTGAAGGATGCGAACGAAAGCGATAGGCGCGAAGAATCGAAGCAAGAGGAAGTCCAAAATCAACCACCACGATAGAAAAGGGAGACCGTACAACCACAAACGTGCACCGTAAATGCGACAGGGGCTCCCCTCGTGAATGCACGTATGCATGTATGTATTGGAGACCGAAGAGAAAAAACGGAACAAAACGAAACAAAAAAGGTGGAACAGGGTGAGGGGTTGGGTTGGGCCACATTCGGCCACGTGTGATGTAGTAGCATAAAACGGAAAAAGAGCAGAAGTCACGGAGGATGAAGATGAAACAAAGACGAGCGCAAGCATCGAACGACGGATCGCCCGGTGAAGCAACCCAGAAGACCAAAAACGGCTCAGAGAAAAGCGGAGAAAAGAGAAACGCCAGTACAAAAAGAGAAAATACGAAAAAGGGGCAATTATTCCGCAAAACATAACACCGATGTCTCAAATTCGAAAGAAGTGGGCCCCCGTAGCATAGAAGTGTATGCAACGAGGGCGGAGGTGTACGCGTAGAAATTGAGATAAAGAAAGTATGAAGACAAGATATTGGGAGGAGAGTATAGAAATGGGAGGATAACGGGAAGGTGCAGTTGACCGCGGAAAAACGAGAAAAGATTTGAAGATATTGCCTCATTGAGACAAAGGCAAAGAAAAGAAAAAGGCCACGGCACAAGGATAGAGGAGACTCACATAATAATCGTTTGCACAACCGTCGAAACCGCTACATTCGTCGTACTCGTTGCCGAACTCCTGCTCCCACTCCCCGTAGTCTGACTGCTCGTCACAACCGCGAGAGACGTGCTTCCGTTCGCATCGGTCGTGACAGAGGTGCTGGTGACGGGCGAGGCGGGGGTCGATCGGAGGCACGGAGGTAGCTGTTGTGCTATCGGTGGATGAAGCGACGGATGTGGTCGATATGGAGGTGGGTGAAGCGACGAAGGTTGTGTCGGAAGTGGTGGATGGAGCTATCGTGGAAGTCGCGGCTGTCGTTGACGCGGGATCGATTCTAGCTGTGAATGAATGAATGAGAGAGATGGTTAGTAAAGGCAGATGAGCAAGCAGGCACGCGAACACGGGTTAGAAACAAAAGAGGATGCGGGTCATGGTACAGATACTGAGGCCTTGAGGCTGCAGGACACAAACGAAAGCAACGATTGTTGGGGAGTAATATGATTCGCTCATAGAAAAGCAAAGGTAGATAGCGTCAGTAGGCGATCGCACGCGAATATGATAGAGAGCTCACGAAGAGAGAGTATGCGGAAAGAGAGTACGAACCGGAAGTCGTGACCGCCGAAGACGATGAGGGCCCGGCGGTGGTGCTCTTTATCGAACTGTCGCTCGTGCCAACGGTCGTACTAGCGCTGCTTCTGCTGGCGCAGACGATACAGAAGACATGATACGAAAAAGAAAAAGCGGGCCTATGCCCTTCCAAGACAGATGGGACTGTCTAATCTGCGATGCTGGGGTTGACTCGCGCTATCGGATCATCGACGACGATGACGGTTCGAGTTTGGAATCGATGCGAATAAGTGATAGAGGATCAGTCCCTGTCTTTCGCGAGCATACCTGCTGTTGGAGGAGCGGGAGGACAAGACTCAGAGGTTCTAGAAAATCATGCGTGAGAGTACGAAGGTGTGCTCTAAGAGTCACGACGAGAGGTTGATACTGTAATACCATGACAAGCGCAGGAAAAGTGACCATAGGACACTTGTAGAGCCATAACGTCGCGGTCGGGAACGAGAACGAAACGATCGAGGACAAGGACTGTGTGGCGCTCAAGCGCCACTTCGCGAGCATCAAGCTGATGACGTCATCTTCCCGGGACGCTTTCGTTTCTCAGTCAACAGCAGTCCTGCATACCATTACATCGTACTTAACCCGTGTAGTGACCATACTGTGGCTTTTGTAGTGTGTCCCTGGGCGTACTGTGGCACCACTTTCTCGACAAATCGCACTCTATCGCGATCCCCTCTTACCCGACTTTTGGCGACCTAACAGAATTCGCATGGTCGTTCTCGACGATCTCTGGTCCTGCTATGACACTAGTTATTTAAAATTCTCGCTATCTAGAATTTGTGCTGCTGGCAGTGCTATTTTTGCTCACAATTGTTGAGAGGTAGATGATCGGGTGGGATGTATACAAACAGGTGTGTTGAAGCACGACGATGCAGGTTCGTCTCAGCACTCTCCTACTGTTCATTCGTACGCTGATGGTACTCGTCAGTATAACCACACACCACTCCTGTTTTCTTTGCATATCACTGTCTTCTCTCCCAGTCGCTCGAACTGCCTCGGCTATTGTAAGCGCCACCAACAGCCAACCCATCGACCATCTTCTACACCGCTTCCAGATTTGAACGCACATCGATTCTCCTCGCTCGGCTCTCGTATTCGACCACAAGACATACCATCTTTCGATATCGACGTTCTTTCTGTTGTCGTCCTCGGATACATTGCTCCAGAAGTTCGTCCAAGCTCTCCCGTCCTGATGGTGCACTGCATCGGTGTCCCTATTCCTTGCGTTCTTCACTATCGTATGTTCCTCTATACACTCGGCCCTACTCTCTATTCTCGTCGTATTCTCGGCCTCGCCAACTTGGCTCAGCCGTACGCTCTACGACCCAACATCATCTCCGTCGCCACTTTACTCCCGCTATGCGAGACACGGGCGATGGCTTAGCATTATGGGGCTGATCTCAGGACTGGGACACTCGATGTAGTTCTATGATACATACACCCCTTTGTGCTACATGTACCCCGGACAGATGTTCGGTGTCTAGACTTTGAGACATATCTTCTCGTATGATGTGGCGACCAGAGCTAAATCATGGTCAGATGGGCGATGCTGAGTTGGTAGCGTAGCACTGAACGCATACGAAGCATCTTTCCCGCTGGCCTACTCGTACACGGTAAAATCAGATGATCTGGTACCGTTGCTTCGGCCACGTCGCCTCGCCCGCCCATTTTACTATCTATAACTTCCATCCAGAATTTCCGAGTCCTTTCACTTTCTATACCGATGCTTCGCTGATGAACTATCAGTTTCTCTGTGTTCTTCACGACGTACAAATAAAGACTCAATTGCGTTCCCACCTCGCGGTGCTTGAGCAGGACGCGTTTACAGCGCGATGAAACGAGCGAAGATTCATCGCCTTAGCTCCGACATTCGTGAATGATTTGGAACAATATGCATGCTCACAAGTCTGAGCGTATGTCTGCTCCTACGAGGTACTCCATGATGACTTGAGACGTACACGTGTTTCGTTTCCTCTTCGATGACACTCGCTGAAATAGTGTGGCAGTTCTGCTCGTTTATAGCACCAAAAATTCTATGTCGACTGGAGCGACCGCTGCGAGCACAAAAAAGGATGCCGCACCTTGATTTACATCTTTTAATTAATCCGTTTGACCCATTTAGATTCATCGTCATCCACTCTGTGGAAAGGTCCTTAACAGCAACGGGTAACTGTCAATACCAATTCGTTTTTGATTTTCCCCTTGACTTGTCTGAACGCGCGATCAAAGCGTTGCACACTCCATACCTCGCCGGCGTTGCTTTCTTGTTAATAACTTTACTACGGGGAGCTGCGACCTTGGATGCTTCCCGATGTATGAATATAGGGACAAGATGCATTCTTTCGAACATCAGAAGTCGTGTTGAGCGATATCCGTTTCGCTCGGAGATGGCTCAGGGTGTTGCGGTCTCATTCAACTCGAATCTACACCCTATTATGCTGAACTGTCAAACTTTTGATCGCACATCGTCTAGACCCGCTGCAGAAGCGTAAGATGCAGTCTCACTTAGCCTCCAACTCACCGCTATTTGTGTGTGCTCTCACCGCGGCACAGTGTTGTCCATCTCCGTGGTCACCGTATCAACCCCTTCTTGCCGCCCAGCGACGTTGAGAATTGACCCTCTCCGCTTATCGCGTCTCCCGATTCGAGATAGGATCGACGATCGTACGGACGGTAGTCATATCTTCAGACGTGTTCGAAGACCTAAGGGGAATCTGTGTGGTTTGGTACATTGTTTGATCCACGGCTTTTGAACTACGGCCTTGCGCATGGATACGCGAACCATCTTTAGTTGTTCCGCTCTCGCAACCTGCATCAGGCGAAGCGAGGTGCTATCCTTGTTTGAAACACGCCTCACTGGGGTGCCATGGAGTGGAATTTATAGAATGGCCCATCAGAACAGTCAAGTGTTGGAGGTTAGGTATCAATGGAGCTGGTTTCCTTGTTGTATACTATCATTCCTGGGGTGTTCGGTATTTTAGCAGTGCTCTGTATTAGCTCGTAGAGCATCCAATACAGACTCAATTCTCCTCAATTCTTTTGCAGGTCATTGATATTGCTCTGCCGGGGCTAGGGGAAAATCCTTGAACGACCACATGAGCAGGAAGAAAGAGGGTTCAAGGGATACCACTTCGGTAAATGTGATTTAAACATGAGTTGTGCCTCGCGCTGTTGGATCGGGCCCGATCTGTACCAGTAAATCTTTCTGAGATGCCATCGATTTTGCATACCGTACGCCAATTTCTCCGGGGCACAGAGTCATCGTCGTTGTTGAACGGCTGAACATCATCCTTGTCGAGGGAGACAGCGAAGTCACGCTTTCCAAAATGGGAAGACATCTCTGTCTCCGCCCATACCAAACACTCCTCCAGGGCGTGGCAGAGCCACACGGTTAGCACCGCTTTCAGCGGGGTTGACAATGCCGCTGCCTCGGCATGGTGACTTCGTTGTGACTGCGGAGAAATTACCAAACACTCCTCCAAAACCACGGGAAACATTCCACACATCGTTCACCTTGCTTTTCGACCGGTATAACTGCATAGGAGGATAGCCTGAGTGTTTGCCAGCGTCTGTGCAAAGTCTCGCGCTCTCAGAATCACATACGGGGCGTAGAGAATACTTTTGCGGTTTCTTTACCGAACACCCCAGGAATGATAGTATCCCTACGGAGGGAATAGGAGTGAGCTCCGAGCCCGGTCCTGAGTAACTTCCATGATATCATCACACAGATAATCCCTTGACACACTTACAAATACTGATCAATTGTCACCTTACCATTTCAGACGCCATTGGTGTTCCCCTGCAATCGGATCGAGATCGTACATTGTCGCTAAGTGGTTGAGTTTTGATACAGATAAGATATGTTACTATGTTACGGAACTTCAACTTTTTCCGAACATCACTGAACTCAACTGTGTATTTGTGGTTGTGCCATCTGCTTCCATCATAATCTTCATAGTACTGATTACTTGCTCTTCCATTACCTAGTCACCAACTACGATCTTACTAAACTACCTGCCTTGTATACGAAACCAGTCATGATGTTCCCATATATTTTGTCGTCCGAATCATTAAGCACGCTCTATAAGTGTCCTATACCTGTAGGCTAGCGCCAGGTCGATTCAAATTCCACTAACACTGTTTGAAGCCTGCGACTTATCTCACTCACCAGGCTCAAAAGCAACCAACATTGCGGAGCTGGAAAGCATGACTATTTGGAGAATGTGTGGATGAATAGACAATTAATGATGTGGAATGTAACCACCTAGGTTTGATGGCTGGATGAAGAAATGGAGTGATGGTGGGAAGACAGCAGAGGCGGTTGCATGGAGGTGAAATATTTTGCTGAGATACTGCAGTGTTGATGACCTTAGGGGGAATCAATTGATGAAGAATCTAAAGGTATATATACATGATGCCTCTGCACATTCTCTCCACACCAGTCACTGGACTCACCCATTATGTCAACATCAGAACCACAAGAGGTTGCATTTGCTCAGACACTGTGGTAAAACAATCAAAGCTCATATTCATATAATGGTGTTTTGATTTGGTTTTATAGGTTGATTAGCAATTATGCCATTCTCTCTGCAAACAGTATGTCTTCCCTTATGGATGCATTAAAACTACTTAACATTTTCCACAGCAATGTGGCTCATGGACTTCTTATACACCTTGCCCATGGAATGGAGGGCAATTTGGTCAAAGAATCTAATGGGAACATCTATACTATTCCTGCTTAACAGATATTTATTTTTTGGCTACATGATTAGTGTATTTATAGAGAACTTCGACTTGTCAGGTGTATTAAGGTATTTCTGCAATCAATTTCCATCTCATTCAATACAATAGCTCATGTATTACACGAACAGTTGTAACTTGATCTTCCAAATGCAACAAGCATTTCAAATAGCCTCCATTCAAATCACCAATAGTGATTATCTGAGATTTTGATGATTTCATATTCACTTTCACTAATTTGATATTTAGTCCTCTTCACATTGAGAGTATATGCAATCTCTGGACAAAAGAAGACTGTACTTGTGATATGTTGCATCTTAACACTCATCAGACTAGGTGTTGGTATATGGGTACCTTACATGGTTTTCATTGTTGTACATCAGCATCAACACTAAGAAGTATTTGTCTTATAGGATGCCTCATTGGCCACAGGACTATCCACAAAGGGATCCATCTATGAATCATTGTCACCATGTGGGTTGTCAATTCCTGATGCTAAACTAGATGCTATGTGAGTAAAATCATGTATATACTGAGTAGGTGCTGACCCTTTTCACTTTAAAGACGTAAGTGATCAGGTGTTTCAAGGCATACCGTGCTCTGAACACATCCCAGTCCAACCAATCATATCATTTTTGGCACTTGTTTTTGACATTGTCATTTTCACAATCACCATAATGAAGACATACAGTCATGGCAAAGAGATGCACCGACTGGGACAGCTAAGTATTGTGCAACTTCTTCTTCGAGATGGTACAAAGATCTTGTATTTAAAATTATTGACGAGGTTTTAATATGTCTCCCAAAATATTCCACATAGGAATATCATATTTCAGGTGAGTAATTCCTTGACACAAAGTGGGTATAGACACTCAATATGCATCATACTGGAAGTATCATCTTTATTACTGCGACCATAAATGTCTGTCTTGAAATTGTATGTCTAAAACATCTGATATATCTTACAATGAACTAACAATATCAAAGATATCTATAGTTACACAAGGAAATGTGAGGCTTACATAATTTCATTGGCTTGATGTACCCAATATGATACAGCTAACAAAGCACATCTATACCAGCTTTCACCTACAAACTCTGTGTTTCAGGGCCTCATGGGGCCTTACTTCACAGCGCAAGCAACTTTTGATTATGGGAAAGGAGAAGAAATATTCAATGCTGACAATAATCAACCTCTTAGTCTACCAAATTTACTCATTACCCGACTGGTCCTCAACCTCCGCCTCTTTGACCAGGCACCAAATGCACCATCCTCAGGACACCTCCCAGACTTAGACTTTGTTCAAAACCGGATCCTTGGCAATATTGGGGCTCCATTGGACCATAGTCAATGGGACAGCCTCATGGATGAAGGAGTTGAGGGAGAGCAGGATGTAGAGCAGTATGATATAGGGAATAGAACTGAAAATGAGGTCAATACTATGGTTCCGGTGGTATGCATCTTTTTCACTTCAAGACAAAGCCAATATATTGATGATATATCTTTCAGATTTATGGGGAAGAAAGTGAAGCAATCCAGATGGTGGCAATCACAAGGGATGTTTAATCATAATTGTAAGTTCATGTTCATGTCAATTTAGTTTGAGTATTCTAACACCATCACAGGCCCCAGATAGAATGAAATCATCTGTTTCAGCATTATGTCTTTCTTCTTTCACCTTCTCTATTTTTCTTGATATTCTTGGAGCTTTGTTTCGCTTCATGGCATACTTCAGACCAGTAATGCAAGCTTTGGACTCTCTTTCTTGAGCCATTCAATATACATATCTTGGTATTTTGTCACAGGTAGACAGTAGACAGTGTATTTATTTGTGTGGGCAGCTATACAGCTTGCGTTTCTTGATCAAGTCACTTCCACATTATTTGGCCCACAGAATTTTCGGACCTCAAGGCAAAATTACGGTACACAAGAACATACATGGTGAAGCAATTTCCTAATGATTTCCGAGAAGTACAATCACCGGCCAGTCATATTCTAATGAATTCAAGGGGCAAAAATAGCAATGTAAGTCACCAGAATCGATAAATATACAGAAATAAAAATGCCTACTCTCTCTGTATCCATTTATGCCTCTTTTCACAATGAAGGGCATTGCTCAATCACAGACGGGGGACAGCCGTGTTCATCAGTGTCAAGCAATGCCTTGTCAGGCAATACAAACTCGGAATCAGCTAAATATCTTCACAATATAATAGTGCATCACATTATTGACATACAGGGTTGTATGCACAATCTTCGTTCGGAAAGCTGTGAAGAGCAACAATGAGGCAAGGTGCTTGTCAGTACGCCATTCGGTTCATGTGAGGTTCTAGGTGCATATTTTGAATTTTTGACATACTAGCAGATAAATTCCTCGCCGGGCTTTTAAGGCGGTAGAGGTGTGTAAAACACGAGTAAGTCTCCGTTGGTATCCGTTTCGGGGCACCAGTAGCCACAGTCCTGTCTCTTTGAAGCTTTCAGCGTGATAGGCTCCGCTATAGCTCTGGCAGTGAAGATGAGAAAAATGACAGCATGCAAGATCTTCGTCATTGCGGACATAGAGAGCTCAGAGTGTTGAATGATAACGCTAGGATGAAAGGATGAACAGAGGGCGAGTGGGCGCGTAACGGATCTGCTGCCCTGTTTTTATACCGTCCAACTTATAGCGAGTATGTAACGGTACTTCGAACCTGAAGGCATAGTCGCGTGGATGCAGAGCGCTCGAGGTATATCAATGGGCATATCGTGGGGACGAAAAGCGTCGAATGGAGGGTGGAATCAGTTCAGATGTCGGAAGTTCAGATGTCGGATCCAAAGCGGATTTATGAGGTCGTTCTTGATGGTGCGGAGCACATGATGATATTGTGTAAGACTTTTGCTCTATGCATCTATGGCGGAGTAAAGGCGGCTTATATTCGCATGTGAGAAGCATATCCAGGTACAGCACTCATGATTTCACGCTTCAGTAGTATATACTTTAGATACTAAAGCCTCGAATGAGGAAGCGGCATCGAGGACGATAAGCGCAGGGACGGGCTAACGAGATGCTTTAGACGATGGGTCGAAAGCGTGGCTCTGCGATGACCGGATTATTCAAGCATTCGAAATCTGTATACCATGATGTTCAGTGCGAACAAAAAGGCAAACGGGCAAGTTCACCTTCAATGGTGTGACCGAAGACTGTCAAGCTCGAGCTTAGCATTCCATGCTGGACCTCAAGTCGATTTGTCTAGCGTTATATGCAGAACGCTCAACTAATACTAGCCGACGCACGGACAACAATCATAACAACAATCGCACAAACCACGGAAGTATGAGCTAGCCACAGATATCGCTTGAGCTCTCAACGAAGACACATGCGGATTCAAAAGAACAAGTCGATCCAAGGACAATCTACGTGTGCGCGGGTTGGGAACGCCTAAGAGGTCTGCGTGAACCTCGGTCGACTTCTGAGGTGCTTGGCAAGACTGATCATAGAGCTTCGTTGGAAGTAGAGTCCCTCTGGTGCGAAGAGAGCGAGGTCCTCTTCTCTCGAATGCTGATGAATATGAAGTAGTCAGAATATATGTCGGTTGAGCAAAGACGACTGTATCGAGCCAATGAGCGCTTTGCAGGCTACGAGGAGCGCTAAGGCGCAGGGGCCACCATCGCCGATAGGGGAGACCAAGACCAAGCCCACTGCTGTAAGCTTGCTAGACAACGTGGAACGTGTTTGTGATAGCGAATGGACATCGTCAACAGAGCACAATACAAAAGGAACCTTCCTCCGCTTGTGAACCAAACGAATCCACGAAGGGCGAAGTTCCCTCAAGAACAACGAGGGCACGAGCTGGCCAAGTGGGCGAGCTCAAATTGGGACCGAGATAATCAGATTATTCGAGGTATTTCATGTCGTTCGATATGATAAACAGAATATGACGAGTGCACTCTATATTCTGCGACCGAAGACTCTCTAAATTGAGTCTGACGATCCGCGATAGACCTCAGGCTGATTGGTCTAGCGTTATACGCAGAACGAGTGTACTGAAGAATTTGGACATACACCACGCTCATCTTGGACGAGCGCGTGCACACCGAACGAAGAACAATAACAACGACGATCGCCCACACCTCCGAGGTATGAGCTGCCCATGGATACCGTCCCAGTGCTATACAAGGGCACTCATGAATGGGGTAACAAAGAACATATTCAGACACAGTCAACTTGCGCGTGGCTTGGGGATGCCAGTGAGACCTAATGAACCTCGGTCGATCGCTGTTGAGGGTACTCAGAAAGGTGACGATGGCGTTTCGATTGAAGGAAGGAGAGCGTCTGCGGTAAGCACATCCCGAGGCCCGATATAGTCACAGAAACCGTCTCGTGCTGAACAAAGACTGACACAAATCGGCAAGGACGAGCTCATTCGAGCATAACCGACGTGGGTGTGGCCCAGGGGAGCCAACGAGGCCTGGCAGTAAACGAAGCATGGTCGATCTCGGGTGAGATGCTTATGAAGGTTGGTCATGCAGCTTCGTTTAAAGTGGTGGACAGCGGCTGCGGTGCGCAGGGACGGAGTCAACGTCTACGATCGAGTCGAGCGAACGCGACTATAACGCATCAATGGGCGATCTACTAGACTGGTGACCAAGTCTGCTACGCGTGGGTGAGAGTGACGGCTGGCGCGAGTACTCTGCGTAGCAGCGATCTACAGCCTACGAGAAGTGCGAGGGCGGCGATGCCGACATCGCCGATCGAGGCGACTGAGGCAAGGGCCCCTGCGATAAAAGTTCGCCATATCGCTTTCATCCTCCGAAATTCTGAATCATCCAGAACAGCCCATAGACGAATACCAAACGGGCCCGGCTGGCGAGTCGTGATACAAAGATAGCACAAACGACCTCCCGCTACATCAACATTGAAACTCGCCCGTAGCGCCTCCATCGAGTGTTGAGCTATGTGAGGGATTCGTCGTGAAAGTTATGATCGTGACTCTCTTCTTGAAAGACTAAAAGGACGTCGAGAGCTCTTTGACCTCGAACGATACGCAGATAGACTTAACGTTGCGCATTTAACATCCAGCTCCTGAAGTTCATCCAGAGCAGTCCATAGACGAAACGGCCCGACTGGTTAGTCGTGATGTATCTAAAGATGGAACGGATGGCCTCGCGCTGCATCACACATGGATGGTCGCAGCGTTGGCAGTTCGTAGCGCTTCCATCGAGTGCTGGAGTATGTGAGGGAGTAGTCGTATACCGTCGTGACTGTTTTCTGGGGAGTCTACATAGAGCTCGAGTGCTATTTAGCCTCGAACGATATGTAGATGAACTCAATGTCTCGCATTCATCCAGTTCAGCCCAGAGACGAAACTGTTCCGACCCGTGAGTTTTGATCATACAAAGATGGCATAGACGGCCTCGCGCTATTCTGTCAAAGCATAGCGCCTCTAGGCCCAAACATACGCACGAAGACCCAACGATTGCGTTTACGAACTGAGATCGCGCGCGCCAGCTGACTGAGAGAGGAACCAGAAGGCGACAGTTCGCCGTACGCATGTGGATCAGGCGTCTGAAATCTGAGGAGGAATGGAAAGCGATGCGCTGGATGGATAGATGTCGGCGAAAAGATGAGCTTGAAAATCGAGAGGCGGCTCGAAGTTAGTTTGATGTGGCTGAAGCGCCGGAGCAGAGAAGAGGAAGATTGGAGAGTAGAGGGAGAGTAGAGTTCAGACAGCGGTATGTGGTCTCGATGTATCACGACCATTTATGAGGCGCAGGCATGCAGGATGAAGTCGTTCACGAAGGAATCATCTTCACTTTATTACAACAAGCCAAGCACACATGAGCTACCATGTCTGTATCTCTAATGCCAGGATGAATAGATGTCGGCCAAAAGTTGACAGTCGAGAGACGCCTCGAAGATGTGACAATTGTGGCCCAAGCGCCAGAACAGAAAGAAAAGAGGAGGATAACTCAGGAGTATAATTGAGACAGCAGGTCGATGACCAGAACACAGGAGAGCCCGTGGAGAACGGAGCGTTCGAATGAGCACGAACGGGTGAACCACTGGATGAATGTGGAAACCGTCGGGACATCGCGCTCAAGAGGGACGCTGGAGCAGCGAGAGTGGAATGGTTGCGGATCGAAGCATGCACCGGGGGCGTGTGTGCGGTGCGGTAGGAGCTGAGAAAGGGGTGCTCATTCGCGAGGCGGGTGGAGTGCGACGTTTACCGACGCGACCAAAGGAGAATTGTGAACAATAGCTTGACGCTGCTGACGACGACAACGACGAGGAACAAGAACAGAAAGAAGGCGCCGACAAAGGCGGCGATGAGCAGCACAAGGACGACGCGCTTGGCCTTTTCTTGTCAAGGCACGGCGAGATGCCGGTCCGCGCCGAGGGGGCCGCCACGTGTGTCTGACGTCAGCTGGAGCGGGTAAAAGGGAGACGGGCTGAGTTGACGTTTTGTTTTGCGGTTTTACCTTTTCGTTCCCTTCGACCGAACGCGCCGTCATCGAGCCGCCATGAGCTGTGAGTCCCTCTTCCGCTTATCCTCACTATCGCTTTCCAAACTCGAACCGTCATCATCGTCGACGAGCCGATAGTGCGAGTCGACCCCAGCACCGCAGCAGACTAGACAGTCCTATCTGTATTGGAAGGGCATAGGCCCGCTTTTTCTTTTTCCGTATCATGTCTTCTGTGTCGTCTGCGCCTGCCAGCAGCAGCAGCGCTAGTGCGACCGTTAGCACGAGCGACACTTCGATAACGAGCACCACCGCCGGGCCTTCATCGTCTTCGGCGGTCACGACTTCCAGTTCGTACACTTTTCCCTCATAATTTCTCTTCGGGAGCTCTGTAGTCAGTGCTAGCGGGTGCTGGCGCTATCTGTTTCTTTTTTTGTTTTGTTTTGTTCGTAATGGTCTCACAAGCAATCGTTGCTTTCGTTTGTGTTCTGCAGCCTCCGCATCTGTAACATCACCCGCATCCACTTCTGTTTCTGACTCGTTCTCCTCGTCTCCAGCTTCACCTTCGTCCGATCCTGCATCATCTACTACAGCTCCTACTACTGCCCCCGGTGTGCCTCGTTTTCCTTGTCGTGCTCTGTGCCTGCTTGCTCATCTGCCTTTACTGACCATTCCTCCTATTCACAGCTACAACCGATCCCGCGTCAACGACCGCCGCGACTTCCACGACAGCCCCATCCACCACATCCGACACAACCTCCATCGCCTCACCCACCTCCACCTCAACCACATCCATCGCTTCACCCACTGATAGCGCAACGACCACCTCCGCACCGCCGACCGATTCGACCTCCGTCGCGTCCGTCACCAGCACTCAGGTCACCACCGAACCGAATGGGAGTACGTCCACTGCGGTTGTGACGAGCAGTCAGGCTGTGGGGAGTGGGAGTAGTACGTTGGCGACGAGTTCGACGAATGTGGTGGTTTCGACGGTTGTGCAGACGACTATTATGTGAGTCTTCCCTCTTCTCTTGTTGTGTGCTGTGGCCTCTTTTTTCTGTGTCTTTCGATGAGCGATCGTTGTGTTTTTTTCTCGTTTTTCCGCGGTCGACTGCGCGTCTCCCTTCATCCTCCCATTTCTATACCCTCTTTTCCCACCATCTCGCCACATTGCATCCACGCGTCGTCATTTCCTCTTCATCCCCAATCCCTCTACCTACACTTCCCTCGTCCTCCTGTATTACGGGACCCACTCCTTTCGCTGCGAGACCCCGCCGCTTTCCAACCTGAGACATCCGTCTTGTGTTCATGCGGAAGCAAGGGCCCCTTTTCGTATTCTCTTTTTCGTACTCGTACTCGTACTCGCACTTTCCCTTTTCGTACCATATTGGCCCTCCTGGATTGTTTCACCGGCCGTTCTCGTTCTTCGTCCTTCGTCGGTGTTCCCTTCGTTTCATCTTACAACTTCTCTTCCGTCGTACGCCACTTCATCCCACATCTCCCAATACAATCCACCCTCCGCCCTATTCTACCTACTTTTCCTGTTCTTCTCGTTTCGTTTCTCCGTTTTTGGTCTTCACTTCGTTCTTCCCTTCCATACGTGCATACATCCGCGAAGCGCGGCTCGACAGCCCCTATCGCCACATCTGTCGATCTCGTGCGTTTGTGGAGGGAGGATTTCTGCTTTTGACGTGGGAGTCCATTTTTGGCCGTCTTTGTGCTTTTGGGACGTTTATGGTGGTGGTTGTACTTAGACTTGGTGTTGCACACACCGTGTTGGGTGTCTTTCGTACGATTCGGGTCGGCGCTGGCGTCTCCGCCTCGTCGTTGATTTTCTTCGCTGGGACGAGCTTCGCTTTTTCTTGTTTACCTGCTTTTGATGTCTTTTCGTCTTTTTTTACAGTTACGCCTCCCTTCCCGTCTACGTCCATACTGTACTATACTTGATACTTCTTCCTTCGCCCCCTTTGTTTCCTTATTCTTGTTCGGACGTCGCTCCTATCTTTTCGCATTGCGTATTCCCTTCTTCGTCCTTTCGACCTTCGACCTCTTGTCTTCGTTCTGCGCATCCTCTCATTCTCCAACTCGTTTTCCCTTTACTATCGGACACGCCTACCGATACGTCAACTGCATTCATCCTTTCTCTCTCCTTTTCTCCCTTCACGCTCTAATATCTCGCATTGCGTTCAGTCCGTCGCTGACCACTTCTATATTCATTCCACAGCTCAACCGATGCAGCCGGCCAAGTCTCCACCCTCACAACCCAAGCAACCCAAACCTTCACCTCCTCCCTCCCCGTCACGACCGGCGGCTCCACCTCCAGCTCCTCCAGCTCCTCCTCCAACACCGGCGCCATCGTCGGCGGTGTCGTCGGCGGTGTCGCCGCCATCGCCATCATCGGCCTTCTGTTCTGGTGGCTGAGGCGAAGGAGGGCGAAGGACGAATTCGACGGTAATTTCGATCCGGATAGAGTCGTGAGGCATAATGGTGCAGTGGATCTCGTGGGGGGAGCACCGGAGGGAGCGGAGGTGACGCCGTATGCTTATAATCCGCACGCTACGGGTGCGTTGGGGTCGGATCCGTTCGCGAGTGGGCAGGGGACACCGGGGATGGTGCAGACGCATGATGGGAAGTCGTCGATATTGACTGCTGGGATGGCCGGTGCGGGAGCTGGTGCGGCGTATGGAGCGGCGCATTCGTCGTCGCATGGACATCCGTCATCCAATGCACCGCTTTCGCCTAATAATTACACGTCGACGTCCGTCTCGGATCCTTCTGAGTATCCTGTGTCCGATGCTTCGTATTATCCTGGCACGCACTCCGGTACTTCAGCCTCGGGATACCATCCCAACCCACACGTCGCCGGCGCACCATACGCACCCGGACAAGCACCCTACGGCTACGGGACCAACGACCGTGGTTTCCCAGGCGGGTTCCGTGGTCCTTCGCCAGGTCCTTCTTCCAGCGAGGGATGGGCGGGTCCTGCCGCTGCAGGCGCCGCAGTTGGAGCCGTTGGGCCGACAGCGTTCAGAAACCCCGTGAGCGCGAAAGAGAGGGAGGCGTTGGCGAGGAGAGGAGTGGCGAATCCGACGCCGTCGGAGGTGGTACAGCATCAGGATGGGGGGAGGGTTCCGCAGAGGGAGGGAGAGGAGGGAGAGGGAGAGGAGGGGCCGAGTGAGATTCCGCCGAGTTATGATAGTATACCGGCGGATGAGAGGGGGAGGAGGTGAGGTGTGGGTGTGGAATAGGTGGTGGGTATATGCGTTTGCCGTTGAGCTTTACTTTCTTTTTTCGCTCGTCACCTTGTCGTGAGACGCCTTTTGCATTCATTCCTCGCCTCGCATCCTTTTTGCCCGTGCTGCTGCTTCTTTCTCTATCTCCGTGCTTTACGATACGTTCCATATCTTAACTTCAAACCGGTTCACGTTATGAGTGAATCATTGCGTGCGCTTCGGGTGGTGTTTTTGGAATGGATGGTGTGTGTCTCGTTCGTCTTCCTCACCGTCGTTCCCACTGTCCACCTTTCCGAAATTTCTTTGCAAATGTTCATGTTCACGACGCTGATATCTCCCCGCTTGGTTTCATTCAGTCTCTCCATCCCGTTCCGTTCAGTCAGTCACCTCGGTTCCTCGGTATACATCCTATCCTCCTCGTCTCGCCTCTTCGCCTCGGGCTTTAAACCCAGTGTATACATCTCGATCCGCTGCTCTCCCTCCCCGTCGTGTAGCCCCCGGACTCGGAATTTGCACCGTTGCGCTGTGGACTCCTACCTATGCTGACCTCCCTCCCTCCCTTCCTACCTACCGCCTCCCTCCTTGCCCGCCTACCCACCCACCAACATACGTTCCCGCTTTCGCTCACGACCCACGACCCTTTCGCTGTACATATTCCATGCCATCCCATGCCAATGCCGGACTTGCTCCCGTTTGAACTTCTCTGTATTAATTAATTAAACTAATGAACTGCTTTTTGCCCTTTGCCCTTTGCCGTTCTCTTTCCTCCGCTGGCTTCCTGGCCTCCGGCTTTGAAAGGGCTCGGGAAGGAAGGAAGAGTGGTATTAATGAGTAGAGTACTGAGTTCAATTTCATTGCTGTCGTGAGCCACGCACGCTTTTTAATGTGGTTTCTGTGTTTATGGTGTTATTCTGCCTTCGTAGCAGGTAGCGTGAGAACTGAGAAGTCTTCCGGAAGTCTCCGCACGCCGAGACGAGACCAAGCGCGACGTGCTCCTCGCCGCCATCTTCGTCGGCGCCTTCTTCTCCGTTCTCTCTCTGTTCTTCGTTGTTCTTTGTCGTAGAGTCGGCAGCTGTGTTGTACTCGCGTCGGTAAACCAGCCACGCAAATCAATGATTCAGAGCACCCATTTCCGAATCCCAGCTACCGCACCGCACCGCACACTCTGGCACGCCTTCGGTGCGTGCTTCGATCCGCAACCGAACTCTGCTCCAGTGTCCGTCTTGAGCGCGATGTCCCGACGTGTTCCATGTTCGTCCACATCTACTCTCGAGAGAATCTATCTTGTATTTGATCCACCCGTCTGTCCTCTATCGAATGCTCCGTTCTCTACGGCATCTCCTGTGTTCTCGGATGAGCGAAACCATATCGCACTGTCTCAACTGTGCTTCTATGCTCCTATGCTACTCTTTGCTCTCTGTTCTAGCGCTTAGGTTACAACAGACCATCTTCGAACTTTCAACTTCGTCTTTTTGCCGACATCTATCCATCCTCGCATCAGAGATATCGACATGGTACCCCATGCGCGCTCGCCATAGTCGTCTTGGTTTGACGCACTGGAGATGATGTGTGCGCCTCATAAGAGGCCATGATTCATAGAGACAACATGCCGCTGTCTCAACTCTACTCTCCCATCTCTCCTGCCTTCTTCTTCTCCGCCCCGGCACTTCAGCCACAACGAGTTGTCTTCGAGTCGTCTCTCGTCTTTCTAGCTCATCTTTTCGCCGACATCTATCCATCCAACGCATCTCTTTCCATTCCTCCTCAGATCTCAGACGCCCAACCCACATGCGTACGGCGAACTGTCACCTTCCTGTCGCTCTCTCAGTCAGCTGGCGCGCGCGATGTCTAGCTATAGGACGCAATCATTGGGTCTTCGTGCGTATGTTTGAGCGAACTCCTTTAATCTGGATTGGTTTTGCATCTAACCAAACCATATCTCCAACCTCGAATGCCCTTTTCTCAACATCTCCTTCCTTTGCCTGGTCTTTCTTCGACATCCTCATGGCTGCTTCCGCATCCTTGCGAGCTGCTTCTAACTTTTGCAAGCGAGCTTCGACTGAAGGGAACTGCGAAGGTGAACCAGTGGGCTGTACCGAAGTAGGTTTGAAGCCGTATAACAACTCGAACGGTGCGAATCCAGAGGAACTATTTTTCCGAGAGTTTATCGCGAATGTGAGGGTTGGAAGCCAGTCTACCCAGTCTTCGCCTCGGCGATTACAGTAAAGACGGATTTGCTTGGATATTTCTCTATTCATCCTTTCCGTCTTTCCGTTAGCACGAGGGTGGTAGGCAGTTGTGAGACCTCCTTCTATCCCGAGTTGCTTTAACAATGCTCTCATAGCTCTAGAGGCGAACTGTGGTCCTCTATCGGAGACAAACTTCTTCGGCAGACCGAAATCTGGGAAGACGTGTTTGAAGTGTAAATCTCTGACTCCTTCTGCTGTTACTTCTGTCCTGGTAGGAACTGGTCTGACTTGTCCAGTGTAGTGGTCGACATATGTCAGGACTGCATTATATCCTTGACATTCTGGTAATGGACCGATGAGGTCTATGCCGACTACCTCCCAGGGTCGAGTTGGTACTTCTAGTGGGACAACCGACCTCGTCGGCCGTATGGACTCCTTCATTCTTGCGCACCTATCACAACCTTCCACATATTTGGCCACCATTGCTGACATTCCAGGCCACCAGAACTGCTCTGAAGCGAGTTCATATGTGGCGTTTCGACCTGGATGTCCTGCAGCTGGATGGTCATGAACCAACTTTAGAAACTCCGTGCGCAAGTCTCCATCTTTCGGGATATAGAGCCTGTCCTGATAATATGTAAGGCCATCTATTTCCTCCCAGTCTGGGACTCCTCTAGCTAACGACTGTGGCGAAGAGCGAATCATGCTTTTAAGTGTAGATAGGACTTCTGCTTCTCTAATGCTAGCTTCGCGTATTCTTCGTTCTAAGTCTGTTTCGCTTAGAGCTACTGTCACACTATGTATGAAGTGTTCTGGTTTGAGCATGGTTATCCCTTGGTTGTCTTCGGAGTCCTTGACTTCAAACTGCCGAGAGAGCGGATCAGAGAGGTGCATTGTCTTGCCCGGTTTGTGAACAATACGATAATCGAACCGGCTCAAGTACAAATGCCAATGTGCTTGCCTCCTGTTCATATTCTGAGGGGATTTCCAATGCTCTAGGTTCAAGTGGTCGGTGTGGATCATAAACGGCTCCGGTAGCAGGGCTCACCACGATTATATCCGTACGAGTACCTGTATCCGTGGGAACAAGTACCTGTTCCCTCGGAGGCCACACCTCTATCCGGGGTGGCATCCGTGGGAACAGGTACTTGTATCTACGGATACAGGTACTCGCACTGGCATGGGTACTTACGAGTCAGTCATCAGCACAAGTAGTTGGAGGTACTTACGGGTATACACGCGGGTCTTGAGTAAAGAGGCAAAGAGAGAAGTCCACGCCAGCCAGAGCATAGAGTACAGGGCCGAGCGGGCATGTTATTAGCACAATGTAACATACAGAAGAGCTGGATTGGAGAGCACTATAAGGACATAGAGTTAGTAAAAAAAAAGTAAGGAGTTAGAAAACAGATGGACTCACCAGCAAGGGAGATAGAGGAAGCGTAGACTCGCCGTCCAGGCATACAAGAAACAGCAAAAGAAGACAGATATAAGAGTACATAGCGACAACGACATCCAAACAACAAGAAACAGTCACACAAAGTAAAAACGAAGTCCGAGAGATATAGAAAAAGGGAAAATGAGAAAAAAAGCTTATTGACGATGGACAAGACAAGTAAATCTATCCAAATCGACACCAGGGGAAGAAAAAAAAGGAGTATGAAGGATACCAAAGTCACGCTGGAGGGCAGTCGACCAAAAGACAAGCAACGACATCTCGATCTTGTGGAGTGCAGAACTATCACCGTCCTCAAGGGAGGCCACGATCTCCGGAGTAACCCTATCGACATGAAGCAGATACATCTTCTCCCCCTTCAGATGCTCATGCTTTCACCATAATGGCTCCAGGTAGCAAGATACGTGCCAGACCCAGTTCTTCCGGTCATCAAAGTCCTTACGCTCCCAACCACGGAGCTCAGTCTGACCTCCATACCAAACAACCTGGCAGAGTAAAGCCATCCTCTCGACGAAAGTTGAATTGTTCATGAGATGGTCAGGCAGGTTTCCAAGCAAAGGTAAATTGGTACGCTCCGGAGGCTCACCATACTCACGTGTCAGGTCGGGGTCGATTAGCGCAAACTCATGAAGCAAAGCGACTTCAGCAAATAGGAGAGCGAGGCTGATCTTGAGCTTCTGGTCCTTCTCCCAGTCAATTACATCCACCTCACAATCACAGCTGAGCATATCCGGCAGGATGACCCGCGCTCCATCTCCCAGTGTACGAACCGCCTCCTTGGCACTAGTGGTAGCCTCTGTGGCGAAAAGCGGAATGAGACCCGCACGCCAATAGTGAGTAGGGTCGAAGGCGGGGAAGGATTTCTCCTTTGGCCACTGGAACCGGAATTCGGCACCGGAAGAGATGGCGCGCCATTCTTTCTTGGTGAGTGGGTGGACCGCGGGATCACGAAGGGAGAGGATAAGGTGGTTGAGAATTTCGCCACGAAACATGATCAAAAACTTCCACCGAGCCAGGATCGTTTTGGGTTTGTCGCCGCAGAGGAAAATCTCAAAAGGTGGCGTCCAAAAGGTCTGTGCAGCCTTCTTAGGCTTCAAGTTTGAGTGAGAGACATAGATCTTGAGGTTCTCGTAGCCGTGGTACGGATGAGGAAACCAGTCGGGCAACTTGGAGCGTTTCCAAGCAGAAGCGAGGTTGGAGTTGAAAGCTTCAGGATCCTCGGGGCGATTGAGGAGCCGCATGATGTTATTGTCCCTCGGAGCCTTTCTCACCCGATTGACAGCTGAGAGCAAGTCAAAGTTAAAATATATCAATAGACAGATACTGAAAAAGAAAACATACCATGAAGCTTCTCCAGCTGGAAGTTAGCCAGCCTCTTTTGAATGTTTTGCTTGCGGTTGAAAAGCTGGGGTGTTGGTGCTGCCAGATCGGTGCGAACAGCTACTCCTCGAGCCTCCCGTTCGAAAGCCAAACCATCCGAGCCACGAGGCGGATAGAAGATCTTGTTGAGCTTCTGCCAATCATCTGAAAAAATATACTATCAGTAAGAGCACGAAGAAAATAAACACCCTGGCTTACTGCTTGTAGCTATGCTCTCAACCGCGACCTTATTACGCCAAGGAGACCAATCCAACTTCGGAAATGGAGGAACAGCGGGAGGAATTTCCATCAGGAAATGCATACTTTGCTATGAGTCCTATCAAGGGTCTTCAGCAGTATCATAGCCCAAAAATGGGCTCTAGCATGTGGAGCTGTGATAGCAAGGTGGGGTATCTATCCCAAATTTGATAGCATTCATTTTTCCCCATAGCACCCATAGCTGCTCTACTTATAAATTCTCTAAGGCTGTTGATTGCAATGAGAAGAATGGTTGCATCCATTGCTATTCTATTCTGTGCTCTTCAATGAGTGCTATAATAGGCAGCAGTGTGATGATACCTAAAGTAGTTGCTATAATTAGGGAGGTAGCTCTACTCCTGTACTACCCCTCAGGACAGGTGGCACATACCAGAGGATCACATCACACCAATATCCAATAGCAGACATTCATATGACATTCAAAAAAGAGCAAGCAAGAAAACATCATAGCAGACGAGAAGATCACATCAGGCAACAAAGACAACACAAAAAAAGGAACACAACACGTCTATGCCAGGACCTCTTGAGCAGCAGCCACACCTTCTGGATCATGAGCCTCCTGAGCCTGTGCCTCACCCTCACCCTGATCGGGAGCAGGACGGGCATCAGGATCAACACGAGGCACGTTCCTCAGAGCCTCGTAGTCAACCTCGTCAAGGTCGTCGTTCGCATTTGCCTGGAGATACCCCAAGTCAAGAGATTTTCTAAATCTCTAGTCAGAGTCTGGACTATACACAAAACGAGAAAACGTACAAGATGTCCTTGTAGACAAGGCTATATGACCAGGCTATAAAGTTGTCGGACCTCTGTTCAAAGGACTGGATGCGTCCCAGGTGATAGTGATACCTAAATACCAGGCAAAGATAAGAAAAAGGTCATTGGCATTGAGTAGAGATAGAATACTTACCTTAACGCATTATTACGATCGTCAAACTGAATGCCACGCCCATAAATACCAGTCTCGACGTAACCACGGATACAGTTCTCAATCTAATATAACAAGTTAGTCAAAAGGAAGTAATGAAAGACAAAGGGAAATGGGACACGTACGACGGTACAAGCTAACGCGACCAGAGGAAGTGTCATCTTACTGAACTCTTCCATGTTGCGAAGGCCGTCCGGCTCATTGCCACGCTGAAAGCATTGATACTTGATGAGTTCACTGATGGAACTGTGCTGATACATGGTCTGCCAGTTCCATGAGCGGTCACCCTGAAGATAAATAAGGCAAACATAAGATAGAAAAAGTCTTGATGGTGGCACTGATGTGGCGTACCTCATAATCTATCGTCCCAAAGACGAAGACATCAGCTTTCTTTGGGTTATCTCCTAGCAACCACTTTGCTAGGGCCTGACGTTCCTTCCAGTTTGCGTCATTCATGTAGCCCTTGAAGTACTGGTCCTTGACGATGGGGAGAGCAGACATCTTCCACTCTCCCCGTACCTGCGAAGCTGCTTTCCACGTCTAGCGTAGAGACAACATAAGTTAGAAACTACCAGAAACAATGAGGAAAGAGAAAGAGACATACATAATTGACCATAAGATAACGATGATCAGATGCAAGTCGCTTCCAGACGTAACGATAGCTGGATACGTGAAGGACAAGGTCTCTGATCAGCTCTATAATAATGCGACGACGAGCATCACTCCGCGGGAATGCGTTCACGAGCTGGATGTAAACGCGGAAGCGGTTCCACGCAGAACGTGAAAGAGTGAAAGCCTCCTTTGTGAACGGGTTCTTGTCACCGGCAACCTGGATAACATAAGATGTGGCGGAGGTGGCGGAGGTGGCGATTGGGGTGACGTCTGGTGCCACCACAGTCTTAGAGGACTTAGAGCCCTTGGGCTGTTTCGCCTGGACAGGGAGATCCATAATCTGGCAGAATATATCAGTAATGCACAGACATGAGCAGAATGACTTACGTCGTTGGCAAACGGGTCATCCTGAACCTTTTCCTTCTTTTCTTTTACTTCATCCTGGTCCGCATCTTCCTGCTGTTCTTCCTCTGGGGCATAAAAGCATACATGAGTAAGAGAAGTAAGATGGATCAAGTGAAGTAGGCGCACCTTCCGCGTCACCATCGAAATCCATAGAATTATCATCGTCTAGTTGATCAATTTCCTCGTCGAGGGCTTGCCCAATATCAGCACAAAGATATATATGAACAAAGAATGTACCATACTTACCCTGCATGCTAGCCTCGAGACGATGGCCAAGGGCATTCTCCTCATCTTCTCCATCAATCTCCGTGTCCGAGCTGAGCTCTATGCCTGCATCGGATTCGGACGGAGTTGGCGTAAGGTCCTTGGACTTCGACTTACGCCTGTACTTAGCCTGTTGAAGCTGGTTGGGAGGAGGGCCATTGTTGTCGTCCTCATCCTCGACTTGCTGAGCATCAGCGTCATCTGCCATAAGCGTACGGTTGGCTTCCTGTATCTCTATATGTGAAGATGTTAATAAGTAAGATATAGAAGCCAGTGAAGCGAGGAAAGGAAAGGAAAGGAATTAAACCTTTACGCCTCTGCTCCTGCGCCTTCTCCTCGATCTTTCGTCTCTGGACAGCGGTAAGCGGTTTTGTGGCGGGTGTAGGATCCGGTGTCGGTGGAGCTACAGTCTTCTTGACGGACTTCTTTGCCGGGGGGGCGGCGGCTGAAGAAGGAGCCTTCCTCTTGTTGGTGCCCGCCTTTGAGGGCGCCGGCGCAGCTTCTTCAGCCTACATGCAAGCGTCATTCAGAGGTGGACTTTCTTGATGAGTGGGTAGACACTGACCTGCTCATTGGCGTCCTTGGAGCGGGTAGCCCTCTGTGAGACCAAAGGAAGACCAACCTCTAGCTTCTTGGCTAGAAAATGTAGTTAGTTATGATGGCTCACACGCTGATCCTGATGAGATAGAAGACAGAGACTGACCATTGCGAGTGCTGCGTCCGGGTGTAGAGCCAGCAGCAGCCTTGCCTTGCTTCACTTTCGATTTTCCAGACATAGGGCAGTTAGAGAAATCCTCTGGATAAACAACAGAGATAAACTGGAGAAAGCAAAGGAAGGAGGGAAGGAAGAAAAGCGACGCGCCTTGCTGGCAGAATAGCAACATGAGACAAATAAAGGCAAACAACAAACATGGAACAAATACGCCACAATGGGCCACATATGTATAGAGCAGGCATATGATACGCACATTATAAAGGCAGCTAGATGCTAGGTCAGAGAAATAAATACAGAATAAACATGTCTAAGTCATAAACTTATTATCCTTCCAACCATGGCGATCCTCTTCCCATGACTTGAACTCCTTGCAAGTCTGGAAGACATACGAGCACCTCTCCCCCTTGTAATCCAAATTAAAGTGATCAGTACTCATAGAGGTAAAGAAAGAAAAGTCCCCATTTAGAAGAGGAAGAATAAGTCCTGGCTGAGCTAAACACAAATCGCCTCCAACATAGTCTGGGCTAGTAATAACGCCATCTGCACACAAGCCAACATCACCATTGTCACGGTGAATGCGCGTCATAACATTCAAGTTGAGTACCCAGCCACACCAAGGATCGACAGCAGAACGGTTAGAGCTGGGAATAAGCTCAGCATATACCTGCATGCCATCGTATTCTTCAGGTAGACACTGGTAGAACTGGAGAAAAGGAGCCACTCAGTATGCGCCCAAAATGGATTGAGTAAGACATACCACATCCTGAATCCACTCAAAAACAGGCTTGAACAAGGCTTTTCCCCGATCATAAAGGTCTCTGTACTCTTCCATGTCCTTAGAAGGATACGGTGTGAGCTGGGTGTAGTTGGTACGTGTTGTACCTTCTCTCTGCTGCTGAAGAGGATGGACATCTTTCAACGCGTCATCTCCCTGAACATATATGAGATTAATCACTATGAGATTACAGTAACGTAGACATACCTGAGTGCAGTACCTAGCCCACCAGCACCAATGTAGAGTCTGAAAGGAGACTGGCCTTCCTTCATCTCTAGCCTTCTTGGTATCCAGCCAAATTAGTGATTGAAGATCGCCAAACATAGCCTTGAGATTGGAGTAAAGAGTTGATCGCAACACTTCCGGCATGCCCTTGCAGAAGAATGCCAGAAGGTTGCCATGAACATCATTGATACGAAGAAAGTTCCTGGAATCCATCAATAAGACACCGTCGCCACAACATCCCTAGCATAAAAATCACTGATACATACGGAAGGCTGTCTCGAGTAGGACGCAAGTATTCCCCTTCCCTCTTGACCCCATCTTCATCATAAAATGTTTGGATCTGATTAAACATAGAAACCGTCAGTACAATTAATCAAGAGACGATCAGAAAGACACATACAAGCCTCTTGAGCTCAGTAAAATCTTCAATGACCAAACCCTCCTCAGCCCTTGCCTGTTCACGTAGGGTGTTGTCCAGATTCATCGCTCTTTCCGAAACCTCCATAGGCTTAGCGTTGGCTTTAGCTATGGGATCGTATCTCGTATTCAGAACCTCGAGGTAAGATGGTGGCACTCGCTGTCGTGGACCCGTCATTGCAGAAGGAAGGAGAGGATCAGCTGAAGGTGTTTCACAGGTGGTAGTGGGGATAGACGAGGAAAGCTGAGTGTTTAGGGGAGGAGAAGAAAGCTGAACATTTGATGAGGAACTGATGTAGAGTCTTCTAGTCGCCCAGGAGTTAGGAGGACTGCTGAAAGTGCGCCACAGTTCCATGTTACGTTCCACAAACTTGATATCGCTACAAGAGTAAGAGATCTATAAGTATTTCGATTAAAGTGAAATAGATAAAAGTCAGCATACTTGTAGGATGCAATACCCAGCTTGGTATCTGAAGCAGCAATGTCTCCACAATCTACATCCTGCCCTGTGGTGTCGTTGACATCAGGGATACTCAAATGGATCAGGCTACGCAGGCGTATGATTGCCGGGATGATCACATTTCTTATGATTGTTCCAGTATCAGGCGCTGTAGAAACCGTGTATGCATTGTGTTAATCCAATAGAAACATGCAAGGAAGAAAGAGATGCACAACTTACAATTATCTGGTGATCTCAGAGCGTTAGCCAGGGTACGATGCGTTAAGCCTTCTATCTTCCCCATAGAGACGTACAAATCTTGTCCCGCTAATACCAGTAGGGCATAAATAGTACCTTCACATGCGTCGTTTCAATCGTGCTGTGTATCTGAAGACAATGAGGATAAGACTTACCGCCCGCTGCCACTGTGGCGTACTTGCCACCTAAAGTACACCAGTCTTCAAAGGTCCGATGCGAAGGCGGTTCAAATGTTGGACTCTTCAATATCTCTACCTCCCTAGCCCATAGTTCACGGACAGGTAGAAGCTGAGTTTGACCTTGAATGGTACGAAGACTGCTCCCAAGAGTAAACATAGTCATGTACTGCCCTTCCAGAAAATCGATATGGTACTTACCTTATTGCCTTCAGAAAGAGCTGCACATAGCTGACCATGGAGAAGAATGAAGCAGCTATACCCTTTTGTATGGCAGCAGAGCACCGTCGAATGAGAATCGGAAAACTAACTCCCTCAGCCAGACTCTCAAATTCTCCTGCATTCGCCACAGCTGTCGCCCATGAGTCCACCGTTGTGGCCCACCCCTCGCCTCCAAATCCTGCTCCCATAAGTCCGACCACTCCTTTCAGGCCACCAGTCCTCATCATCTCCACCTTCTCTTTCCTCGTCCACTGAATCTCCCCCATCTTTTGAAGCGAAACATATCGATGTCCATTACGCTTGCAGTCTGGGTGCCAGTACGGCATCCAATCTCCAGGCCCTGCACCAGTACCATCATCATCATCTTCACTACCCTCGTCTGCTCTCCTCCGTTTCCTGCTCCCCTTCCCCTTCCCCTTCCCCTTCCCCTTCCCCTTCCCCTTCCCCTTCCCACTTCTCTTCCTCTTATTCCCAGAGCTGTTCTCCCTCCTACTCTCATCCTCTACACAGTCCTTGCACGCATCTGAGCTAGCTTCCTCTTCATCCCCACTTGGCTGGTATTCACGATCACTGCCTTCTTCCTCAACACTGCCGGGTCTCTCCATATCTTCAGAGGTTGGTGAATTGAACATGATATCTGAGGTTAGAATAATATGCAGAGTTGAGAACCTTGCAATAGGATGCGGGTACGATATTGCGTACCTTCTATGTCTGAGAGCGGAGATAAAGGACAGATGAGATCACTGAGACCCAGCACATCACTATCTGTGCTCAATGACTGGATTGAGACGCCAGTTTGAAGTAGAGCTGACTGTTGAGTGTGTATCATGGGAGTAGATTGACGAGTCGAGTAGCCGCTTGGAGCTGGAGTGGCTAGTCCATGAGATATTAAAGCATCTTGGTCCAGGATTGAGATATTTAATGATGCAGCATTAGAATTAGAGCCAGAGGTACGTGCAGTGGTAGGCACAAAAGGCAAAGAAGGAGACTGGGAGGAGGCATTAGAGCTGGATGAAGTAGCTTGGTGTTGAGCATCCAGCAAGGTTTGTCTGAGTTCAAGATATTCTAGAGGTAAAGGTCCAGTTCGTGACAAATCGTGCAAAGCGTTGAGCATAGCCTGTACAGCGCGGCCATCTAGTGCAACACTGCCCATCCCAAGCGGAACGCGTATGCTCGGACAACGAACAAGAAGTCGCGACAACGCGAGCAGTCACCGCTCACGGGTTGTCACACTACGTCACACTTTGTGACGTTTTCCTGGACGTCCAGGAACTTGCCTCGCATATGCTCAAAATTACTTATAATATTCTCACACTTTCTCCAGGCTACGATAACTACATATGGTACACACTAGGCTCACAGGGCCTCAATATGAGAATCTCTAAGACGGGCTGAATACTACATCAACGTCCCGGTGCAATACAATCACCAACGGGGGGATCGCGCTTGAGGCAGCGCATGTACAACTCGACAACCTCCACCCGCAATGACTCCAGACGAAAGAGAGATACCGGCACACTGGGCGTAGACGGCGATGACGGAATTGACCCACGCCTTACCCTCAGCCTCCGACCCGAGATGCTTCGGCGGTTCCATAGTGGTGGCGACGGCGGAGTAAACGAAAGATGAGAGAGCCCAAGGAAGGCGAGGAGGAATACGAGGCCGACGATTACGACCTCTGCGATTGCGCGGGCGTGGGAGGAGGCGGAGTTGGAGAGGGCGACGATTGCGGTCGAGGTGGAGGCGCTAGTAAGGGAGCCGGAAGTGGCAGCGGGTGTGGAGGATTCGCGAATGGGTCCACGCCTCGCCGTACGATGATCCAAAGCCGGAGGCAGAAGAGCGTGCGGAGGGGCTGATGTTGAGGGGCGTGGAGGTGTCACGGGGCTGAACGGCGACAATCTGGTGGATTTGAGTCCACCGAAACCAGTGGCGGAGCTAGACTGGATGGGCGAGAACGCATATTGCGCGATGGGGGATAGCAGCCCGGGCGGCGTGTTCGGGACCTCTGCGTGGAACGATAGCGCCACGCAGACCTTCTCGTTCTTCTGAGCGTACGTAACGGTGATGTTGCCTCGGAAGTCGACGGAGCCGCCCTAGACAACTCGCTTGAGCTGATCGTGGACGAAGACGTCATCTGAGGCCGTTTGCGATGGGGGACGAGGGACGCGGGGACTTGACGTTAAAATCTAGCGGTCGCCAATACGCGCAGTGAATACGCGTGGTTTCATGAAAGTGAGGAGACAGAAGGGAAGGGAAGGGAAGAGAAGGAGGTGAGAGGCGGCGAATGCATACAAGTCAGTACACGAAGGGACGGTACGGTTGTTCCGCGTACCTATTTGCCCTTCAACCTAGCTGATTGCCTCTTCCTACCCCTCTCTACCTCTCTCATCCTCCTATCTGAGTTTCGGAGCGATTTCGTCGTGTGGTTGTGGGGATTGGGTGAGAACCAGGCCAGGCGCGGAAGGTTGTTTGTTGCGCGTGGTGTGGGGGTGCGACGGATCGTGGATTGGGTCGGGGGAGGATGAGGGTGCTGTGTGGTGGGAGGGTATGGATTGAATGGGGGAGCTAGGCTGAATGCGCGACGGGGATAGCCTATAGAATCAATCAGTACTCGAACGAGAAAAAAAATGAATCGATAGAAACGTACCATCTTCGGTGTGGAATACCGGGATCTTCAGGTCCTTCACGTCCCACAACTCCTCGTCCTTCAAATCCTCCGTGCAGAGCTTGTTCACCGCATCCTTCAAGTGCTCACTATGGTATGGGACTCCGACAGCGAGGAAACGGACGTAGAAGACCGGCTTGCGCTGCGAGAAGGGCGTCTTGCTCTGATCGACGCCACTCGGGGCCTTGACCCTCCTGAGGCTGGTAACGAGACTGTAAAGTGCACGAGGAGGACCAGTGACGACGAAGGCTTTCGCGCCGTTGTGAAGGGAGATGTGAAGTTGAGAGTTGGAAGGAAGGTGTTTGTTCGTCTTCGCGGAGTGCGGCTCGAGGTCCTTGAGCAACGGGCCAACGACGGACGACATAGGCGTGGGTGAGCCCTTGCCACCCTTGATCGAGTCCTCGACGACACTAGGCTCGAGTGCGAGGACGGGGAAGGCCTGCTGGCCTCGGAGACCAGCGTGGAAGAGCCATCGGAGACCCTGATGCGCGTTCTTGAGAAGCTACAACGAACGAGATGCAGGGACCCGAAAGGGTCAAGCAAGCATTCGTTCGTCGTACACTTCGGTTCGCGATGGAGGACGAGGAGGGGACGGTGAGGGGTTTGGTTCGGGAGCGTTGGCGCCGCGTACGACGCGATAGCACCGCCGGGCGAGCCGTAGATACGACAGGAGAGAGGGGTTAGGGCGAGTTGGTGGCGACCGCGGAGTAAACGAAAAATGAGAGAGCCGAGGACGGCGACGAGGAATATGACGCCGCTGATTACGCCATCTGCGATTGCGCCGGCGTAGGGGGAGGCGGAGTTGGAGAGGGCGACGATTGCGGCGGAGGTAGAGGTGAGCGGTTGCGGAGGATGCGGCGGAGGATGGAGGACGAGGTCGGGCGGGAGTGACGCAGGCCTTGACGTTGAAGCCTAGCGTTCGCCGATACGTATGATGAGCACGCGTGGTCTCGTGGAAGGGAAGAGGGGGAAGGAAAGGGAAAGGGAGTGGAGGGAAGGGAAGGGAGAGGGACGAGAGGCGAGGAAAATATATAGGTCAGTACACGAATGCACGTTAGGGTCGCGCCACGCACCTATTCGCCTTTCACCCTCGCTGACGACCTCTTCCTGCATCCATCTACCTCTCCAATCGTCCTATCCGAGTTTCGGAGCGAGTTCGTCGTGTCGTTGGGGCCAGACGGCGGCGGCGCAGAGGAGCGTTGACGTGAGTAACGACGCGACGCGTTCGACGAGCGAAAGCGACGGAATTTAAACTCCGCCGGCTTTCACCGGCGCGCGGCCGCCTTCAAAATCGTCGAAATATTCATGGATTCAATTTGTTTCCGAATTTGGGAACGAATTGAAGCCATTCTGCCGAGCATCCGAGTTTCGCTCTCGGCACTGCGGCACTTTTGACTCTCCGCTTGCGTTCGACTTGGGCTTGCGTTCGACTTGCGCGTTCGTGTTTCGCGTGCAACACTGGACGGCTCTCTTCAAGTTCCTCTTCTCCTTACTCTGAGTTCGGTTCGTTGTCTGGCTTTCTGATCTTTATCTGGTTCTTCTAGGACTCACTGGGCTCTCATAAATTGCTCCTGTGATCGTAGCCATGAGCTCGTATGTGCTTACCCGTGAACAGAAAGACCGGAAGAATGCCATCGCAGCGAGGTGCGCCGTGATAATATGTGTTCTTATTCTCACTGACTTCGCTGTTTGCTTGCAGGAAACGTGCATTGAAGAGGGACCTGTTCAAGAATTCGGACGCCTCAGACATGGCACCTCGCGTACTCAAGGCTGAACAGAAAGCGGCCGAAACTAAACGGAAGGCAAAAAAGAAAGCAAAAATTACATCGATCACTCTTCCCCCTACGATCCTCTCATCTACACCCCTGCTTGGCCTTCCTTCCGGCACACCCATTCCGTCGTCCATCTACGCCACAATCACACAACTCCAGACGAAACTCGACGCATTGTCCGACGACTTGGCAAAGCATGAAGTACGAGACATGCATCAGAAATTCCAGGATGACAGCCGTGCGTTCCTTCATCTTTGGCGTCTGGATATTCAGGGGATGCTGCACGACAACAGCGGTATCGATGTTGTGCGGCAGAAACGTGATCAGTGGTCTGCATTTTTCATGCGAGGCCAGGCTGTCCTGACAGAGATAGGCGATGTGGTTTGCCTTTGGGCTCCAGCGGCAGCACTGTTTAGCATACTCAGGTGCAACGCAGACATTGTAGAATCTGTCTGTCAATTTTTGCAGCTGTTGGTATTGCTGGTCGAGGAGGAGATATTATCATGGCGTACAAAGGGCCAATGGGTGCCTACATCTGATGACTCCGTAAAAGCGACCCTTATCAAGGTAATTGCAATGAGATAATGTGTCAACTTCTGGGATTTTATGCTGAGCCTTGTGTATGGCGCAGAAAATCAACTCTGCGGGCTCCAATGTCACGTTCACGATGAACAGAGAGGAGTTTACTCTGAAGTCTCTGTTGCCCGGTGGCTGGCTTTCAGGCGATGTCATCAATTTCTTTTGCGTCTTATGGCAGCCCCCGGTGGAGGAGGGTGTTGTGATTTTTCCCACATCATTCTGGACGTTGAAGTTAGCGCGGGTAGGTGATGATGAGTTGGCGAAGAAGGAGTTGAGGGAGAAGCAGGAGATGCTCTGGGAGAAAGTGTTCAAGTATCGCGTGACTGGTCACAGACGCGTGCGTTTCTCTCTGGGCAGGGTTGTATCTTCATTATTAATTTATTTTTGATTCTCATAGGTGGACAAGCTGTACGAACGACTTGAAGGTATCAAGCCTCCTACGCGCTTCATCATCCCCATTCATGATCACGGAAATCACTGGATCGTCGCCCACATCGATATACACAAGACCTGCATCCTTATCTACGACAGCCTACAGTCCACATTCGACGCGAACACGAACATCGGGAACAGAACGAAGACACAACATTGGAAGTATATCAAGGTTTGTTTTGGTTGCGCTCTTACCTAGACCATCTGCTAATCTTGTAATTAGGTTTTGTCTAAGTTTGTTGCACGAGTCATGAAGCAGCTTGACATGTCGCCACCCAATTTCGAGCTCTGGACCATTGAGCCACATTTGGAGGTGAGTACTATGTTCGTATTGCTGGAATAAGTCAAATCCATACTGACGTTCACCAGGTCCCCTTTCAGGCCAATTTCTTTGACTGTGGAATATTCACGCTCCTATTCATCCAACATCTGCGCCATGGATCTCTGAATGCTGAAGGTGTGCCACTGGAGTATCGATTTGAGATGAAGGAGCTCAAGGGACGAGTGGTGGGCGATTTGGGTGGCACTAGGTTGGCGTTACTTGAGGAGCTGCTGAGTCACTCCAAGATGAAGAATGCAGAGGATCATGAGGTTTGGGAGATCTCCTCTGGCTCTGAGGATGAACTGTGACGTCAAGTAGCCCAATCTATTTTTGTTTTGTCATTTCTTGAAGTGTGGGTGAATTTGAAATTGTTTCCTGGACGTCCAGGAAGGGTGCCACACTGGTGCCACACAAGGCTTCTTTGTTCCTTGTCTCACGATATGTGTTATCGCGATGTGATCTACACTCTCTCACTCACTCTCTTCTACATACTTAAGCTACTCTTCACTAACCTCTGTGACTGCCAGGCTCCTTCGTGATTTTAAGGTATGTCGCTCTTCTGCATCTAGGTCATAATTAGCTGAACTGTGGAACTAGATGCCGTCGTCTCATCGCAAAGCAACATCCAAAGCAACACCTCGCTCCATTCACTCATATAGCAATCAATCCCCCTCGACTCTACCCCTCATGACTCAGAAGATACAGTACAAAGAGATACAACGGCTAAACAGCATAGCTGAGCGTACCTGTGGCTGCTGCAAAAGCGTATTAGGAACCGTCAAAGGTCTGGAGTCTCACACGAAGCAAAAGCCGGAATGTCGCCGATGGATGAAGCAGAAGGCAAAGGTAGAGGACTATGATTTTGACGATATAGGTGAGGGTGTAGGAGAGACTGTAGAGGAGAAGGGTGAGGTGATGGACATAGTGCAGGATGTCCAGGATGAAGGAGACCAAAGCAGACGTCACCAGAGGAAGCGAAAACGGGCAAGAAGTAGTCTGGGTTCAAACGCTGAGGTACGCCTGGCCGGAGACATTAGGAACGTTGGAGAGGGGAGTAGCAGCGGGGGTTCGAGTTCGATGCCATTAGCAGATGAAGATGGGCCAGTTGAGGGAGCTGAGATCAGGTTTGAGGATAGCAATGACGGAGTGGAGGTCGATGAGCCCGACGAGGCCGACATACAAGATGCTTATGATGAATTTACTAAGGACTACTACCGATTTGTCCCAGCACCTCCTCCCCCTCCCCCTCCGCCAGCTCAGCCATCATCTATGGGTTCAAATCATCCCTCTACTTCTGGCCCAGAACCGCTACGAAAGGCAACCTCTCTGCGTCTAGATGATGATGAAGATGAACGACTAGTCGAGGAATCAGCGAAGGGAGGGAGGAGGATTAGACTGGGAGAGAGTGTGTATCAACGTTGGAAGGATCATTTCGATACTTTAGAGCGAGAGAGAGGACAGAAGGAGAGGCAGAAAGCTGAGAGGAAGGCGAAGCGTGATGGAGTTTGGATGGACGATGAGGAAGAGGCCGCTTTAGACCAACGGAATGTCTGGGCGCCCTTTGCTTCCAAAAGGGACTGGTGTATTGCTAAGTGGGCGATCGAGGAAGGAATAGGGAATGGGAAATTAGACCGTCTCTTAGAGATAGAAGGCGTACGTCATTCATGCTATGGATGTGACCACAATACTTACCCAGTCTTACCTTCCAGGTTGTTGAGAGCTTAGGGCTATCTTTCCGAAATGCTGCTGGTCTACATAAGCACGTTGATTCCATGCCTAGTGAGGCACCGTGGTCGACTCGCGATATTGTCTTCTCTGATCAGCCGAACGATCACTACACCGTGCAATACAGAGACGTCATCGACGGTGTCAAAGCCCTCCTTGGTGACCCGTCCCTAGCAGACAAGCTTGTCTATCGCCCAAAGCGTGTTTTTACGGACAAGTCGAAAAAGAGTCGAATATACTCAGAGATGTGGACTGGTGTGTGGTGGTCTACAGTACAGGTCAGTGCTTTGTTCACATTATCTTCTGAGTTGTTCGTTAAATAATTGTATGAGCAGGATAAGCTTCCAGATGATGCCACCATCGCACCGGTCATTATCGCCACAGACAAAACTCATCTCACACAGTTCTCCGGTAACAAATCAGCCTATCCAGTCTATCTTACTCTGGGTAATATCCCTCGCTCCATACGACGAAAGCCATCACAACATGCCTGCATCCTCATCGGCTACCTTCCTGTCGACAAAATTGACTCTGATAACCTAACAAAAAACGAGACCAAGGCCCGAGGGCAACGTCTATTCCATGAGGCTATGCGCCACATTCTCCAGCCACTTGTCCAAGCTGGCACACATGGCGTTGAGATCACCTGTGCAGACGGTTGGGTCCGGCGAATATACCCTCTCCTTGCAGCCTATGTTGCCGACTACCCGGAACAGTGTCTTGTCACCTGCGCCAAACCTGGTACTTGCCCCAAGTGCCGTTGCCCTTCATCCGATCTCCAGAATCCTCATCCATACGAGCATCGTTTACCAACTTGGACAATTAACATTATGGATACAGCTCGGAAAGAGTCCGCCACACGCTCCAAATACTGGGAGAAGACTCAGGCCAGTGATTTATCCGGTGGCGTATATGACCCATTCTGGCGCGACCTCCCCTATGCCGATATTCATCTCTCCATCACTCCAGATGTTCTTCACCAGCTCTATCAGGGCGTCTTTGCTCACATCCTTACCTGGGCCACTGACATCCTTGGCCCCAAAGAGCTTGATCATCGTATTCGCACCCTTCCTCCTTTCCATGGTACACGCCACTTCAAGAAGGGCATATCTGCTCTTTCTCAGATCTCTGGCAGTGAACGAAAAGACATGGCCAAGATTATCCTAGCCTGTCTGGTTGGTCGCGTATCTAACCAAGCTCTTCTGGCCTTTCGTTCAATTCTCGACTTCATCTACCTTGCCCAGTACCCCACTCATAACGCCGAAACCCTTGGCTACATGAAGGATGCTCTCGCCACCTTTCAAAAACACAAGGACGTGTTCATCAAACTCGGCATACGCGAACATCTCAATATACCCAAGTTCCACTCCCTCCTACATTATATCGAATCTATACGTCTCTTTGGCACGACCGACAACTACAATACCGAAATGTTTGAACGACTCCATATCGACTTCGCTAAAGAAGCCTGGCGTTCCACTAATCATCGAGACGAACGTCCCCAGATGGTCCGTTGGCTTGAACGCCGAGAGAAGATGGCCACCTACGAACATTACATCAAACGCCACATTCCTTCCACATTCCTCACCGACACCTCTTCTTCCTCTCATGATCGTACTGGCACTGGCGAGATCACCATCAAAGGTACTCCAGATGTACCCAGCGCCTCAATCAAGTCCATTGAAGCCAAACATTCAGCGCCAGGTTTTGAACGTGCTTTGAAGGAGTTCGTGAATAAACACAGTATTCAGCGTACCTCTCAAAAGGACATTGCCACGAAGAGTCTTCCCTTTGATTCAGTGAAGCTTTACTATACCTTCACTATGTCACGAGTGGAGCTGGGCCATACAGAGGTTCTTGGCACGTCTTTGGACACCGAGGTTGTGAAAGCAAAGCCACATACAGGTAAACAAGCTTCTCGTTTTGACACTGTAATTGTACTTGATTCTCCAGAGGCTGAAGCTACTGGAGTTGAAGGTTTGTAATCTTCTACTGTGTGCATATCAAAAAAGTTCCGCTAATCGTATTGGCACAGGTACAAGGGCAGGGCGCCTCAAGGCTATATTCCAGTTACCTTCCACTATATATGGTGTTCCTGCTCACTGGCCTGGTTCCAGTAAGGGCACCTTGGCATATGTTGAGTGGTATACTAAATTTACTCCCGCTGCCGATAAATATCACAAGATGTATAGTTTGAGTATTCCACCTCACAGAACTGATGGCACAAGACAGGGTACTATCATTCCCCTCTCCCAGATACGCCAGGCTTGCCATCTTACTCCACATTTTGATCGTCATCTTACCATTCCTAGAACATGGACTACTGATACTATACTTGACTCATCTACTCATTTTTGGTTGAACAGTTGGTCATCTCTGTACGCATATCAAACACTGTGGTAGATTATTCCTATATATTGCATGTTTTCATACGATACATAGTCAATGCGTTGTGCATCCCGGATGGCCGTTCTATGGGAGCTATACCGGCTATCATTCTCGGTCTCAGAAACCCGGCAATCTATGACAGGCAGGCACCGGCTATCAACTCAGCCAAATTCCAAATAGGAAGGTGTGCTTCTATATAGCAAAAATGTGATTTCCTGATGTCCGTAGAGATGAGATAAACTGGGGCAGTCATGTGGGCGAAGGCAAGGAAGACGTCGCTGTCAACCATAGAAAAGATGGACCCTCGTAAAGAGCGCTTGCAATGATCACAGACAGGCTTCGGATATGACTCCACATCCTGCGCCCAGAAAAGGAATGCGTTCAGCTCGACCATGGCACGCTTGTGAGCTCGCATAACCAGCATGAACTGCTCCCAGCCATAAACACCCGCCACGAGCCTGTTGAAGAACTGGAACTCTCGCTCGAGGACGAATGAAGGGAGATCGGAGTCACAGACATCACGGTTTAATGGGGTGCGACGCTCGAGGACCAGACGAAAATATTTCGGAACCGTCTGCTTCATCGAGTTGCGCTTCTCGCGAAGCGGGCCCAGGATACTCTCGAGGGGCGACATGAGAGGCGTCGATTTCATCCCCGAACGAAGCATGCCTGCAGTCCAGAGGTTGCGCCGATTTTCGGGAAGAAGAGGTCGTCGAAGAACTTCGTGGGAGATGGGGATGTAGAGGAGCCAAGGTGCGTGGTGGTCGAATCGTTGGGGGTACAGCGAAGTGTCCTTGCGACCCCAGTAGCCATCGACGTAGATTGTGGAATCCTCGGAAGGTGGAAGAATCGGCGCGTAAGTTGTGTTGGCACAGAGAATGTTGGTCGCTTGGTCCACATACACATAGCCTGAGTACCGAACCTCCATCGGAAGTGGAACACGGCCAGTGCTATTCGGTGGCGTGCGAGCAGGATAGCGTAAGTGGATCGGGGCGACGTTGGGGGAATGGGCAAAGGGCTGGGAGGGTAGTCGGTGCC